GGGTGTGTGAGGGGAGGGGGGTTTGCATCTATTTTTCTCCTGCAACAGCTGGAGTGATTATCTGGACCATAAAGTCAGACTGAAAAGTGGGTAACTTTAACAAATGGTGACTTCAGTGCCTGGGCAGACGGCTATGCGCACACGCAGCCCCAGTGAAGTAAATGGGCCTCTGGGAAAGCGGAGCAGCTTGCCTGCACACTTTCAATTGTAGGATCAGGGCTGTGAAGCACTTGATGTTGAGCCCTTTTTGCGAAGGGCCTTGTGGGACTTTTAATCAAAGTCCCTAACTCATTGGTCTCCTTAGATCATTTGCCAAGTAGGCCGTTATCCGTAAAACCATGCCAGCTAAACCGCTGCAGGGAGCTGCGTTCACACCAGTCCTTGCATTGCTCAAGGTGTTAGGGTTGTCCTCAGCTGTAGCCAGCGAAATGCAGAATCCCGGACTTGTATCTTGCAAGGTAATGGTTTGTAGGTGTTCTGTTTGAAACTGTCTTCATTTGTAGTTTCTAAATCTGCATATCAATCTCGGTGATTATTATGGATCTTAATTGGCTTTGTTTCCTTTTATTTATCGTTGTTTAAAGATTACCTCCTACAAGGTAGGGTCTTGTGAGCCCAGTTTGAAAATGTTATGTGCAAATTTCATGCACTTTTCTGCCTGATTTCTGAGCACAAATGGCCACTTTGCAAACACCAGTGGAGTGCTGGCATGTTGTCCTTTTCTTCAGCTTATAGTGTGCCAATTCCTGTAAAGTTTCATGTTTTTTCTTAAAGCCCCTGTGTGATCATGTGAGAATCTCAGCTCTGTGTTTTTGTTTTTAAGTCAGTTTCTATTTCCCTTGGTTGCAGAGAAACACTTGAAAATGTGAACCCTAAATGCGCAAAACCCAGAAGGCAAATAAAAAGAACCCCAAACATTCTTTTTACAATCTCATGATTTTTGAAGCTGTCATGATTTTTGAACACTAGGTTGGCAATACTGGTAGTGTTATAAGAAAAAATAGCTTAAAAGCCATAGTAAAACTGAACATAAATTGGGGCAGGTAACTGAGACAACAAAATGACTTTATAGTTTAGTTGAACAATGAGTGATTATCATTTGAAATATTATATTGCACAAATGAAAAGCAAACTCTGAGTCATGCTAAAGTGGCTGCTATTCCAGCTGATTGTTATTAAACTGCTAATGGATTGGTCATGTTCACTATATTCACTTTGCCATAAGGGTGGGGTAAGTTCTCAACCTGCAGCCTTATTTTGACTCTTGTTCTGGCATTTTCTGTGGGAGCCAAGTACAGTACTTTCAGTGTTTTTATTTGAAGAGTGACTGTAATAGGGTTAAATGAATTGCAGGAGGAAGTTAAAGGGAAGTAGCCTTATCACAATAAACAAGGAAAAACAGAGTAGGCAGGGTGGGGTATATTTGATGCTGTGACATTACACCCCATATTCTTCATAGGGAGATTGTTATGATATGAATATGGCATATCTAAGATGTATTTTATGCAAGATGGATCTTGTGAGATATCATTGGAAAGGTGATGATTTACTGAATATGATTATCCAATTTGTATGCATGTATCATTTTTGTGTCTAAAGTTAGGAATATGGACTATGTATCAATTACAAAAGTGTTTGCACCTGGGGAACGCCCACCAGACATAGGTCAATCAGTCTGGCTAGTTAGTCAATGCACCATTAGCGAGAACAATAAGACTTTGAAGATGCTAATCTCCCTGTGAAGTCTTCCTGAGGATTTATGGCTACTTTGACACTACAGGGTCATGTGATCACGTCACATGGTATTGGACTCCATCTTGGACTGCTAATATTTTTCCACAAGGGGGTGGGGATCAAACTGGGAAACAAAGGATTCCAGCCATATGTAAATCCTATATAAGGCAGGGAAGTGAGTTAATCAGGGTCGGTTCCTCACTGAATCCCTGCCCAAGATGACTGCTGAAAATACCTCAGGCTGATCTGGGGAAGAAAGGACTGGACCCAGGCTAGAAGGTGTCTGGCCTGTGAAAGGAATATCTGGAGTTCTAAGCTGCAAGCAAGAGCAGTTTGTCTTCAAGAAACACTGCAACCTGCTTAAAACAACATTTAGGGTGAGAAATTATTACTTGCAGCCAGTTTCTTTAGTGTATTAAGCTTAGTTTGCATGTTTGCTTTATTTGCTCAGTAATCTACTTTGATCTGTTTGCTATCCCTTATAATCACTTAAAATCTATCCTTTGTAGTTAATAAACTTGTTTAGGTTTTCTCTAAACCAGTTTGTGCCATTCATAACGGGGGGTGGGTGGGTGGGTAGGGGAACAAGCTGTGCATATCTCCCTCCACACTGTACAGTTCTCTGTGCAACACAAGACAATACAATTTTGGGTTTGCACCCCAGAAGGGGTGTGCACTTGAGTGCTGGGCAGTCCCCTAGCTGATTCTTCCCATGCAGAGCTGATGTCAGTGTCCGTGTCTTTCTGCAGCTGGGTGTGTCCATACCTGTGTGTGCGCTAGAGGAGGGGTTCTCAACCTTTTTCTTTCTGAGGCCCCCCAACATGCTATAAAAATTCCACGGCCCGCCTGTGCCACCACAACTCTTTTTCTGCATAATGAGTAGATTAAAAGCCACGAGTAGCATGACGGGATAGCAATCAGGGCAATTGCCTGGGGCCCCATGCTGCGGGGGGCTCAACAAAGCTAAGTTGCTTGGGCTTCGGCTTCAGCCCAGGGTGGTGGGGCCTGGGCTTCAGCCCCAGGCCCCAGTGGGTCTAACACTGGCCTTGCTCTCTGGCTTATTTTGGCGGACTCCTGAAACCTGCTTATGACCCCCCCAGTGGGCCCTGGATCCCTAGGTGAGAACCACTGTGCTAGAGGAGGCTTCAGGGCCTGGTACAGCAGGACAGGGTGAGAGAGCTTAGGCTGGTGGAATGGGTGGGCTCAGTGGGACCTCAGTACATCAGGTGGCGCCCCAGAGTGTGTGTGAGGGGGCAACCCGTCACAGATGCATTTAGCCACCTACTGCTAATCTCATGTATTTCGTGATATTGAACGGAATAAATAATTTACATATAAGATGGTAACTTGGCCTTAGGGAAGCTCCTTGGAATCAATCTTGGAGCTGAATATATCTAAGCTCAAATTGATTCGGCTGGTGTCGTTGACATGTATCTGGTAAACAGTACGCAAAGTACCACTTCATTGAAACAGGGAGTGCTCAGAATTTCTCTCTGTTGGTCTGTCTACCTGCCTACCTATCTTGTGCTCATCTCTAACACGTCTGAGCACTCTTCTGAGGAAACTGCAGTGGGTCTGATAGGTCGAGAAAGCCTACGGCTGAGTAAAGGACAAACACGCCCCGGGCTTGGGTCTCAAGCCACATGCTTGGAAGGAAAAAGGGCCAAAGAAAATCTCAAAGGATTCTTACAGCCAGGTTTTCTCTGGCTTTGATCAGTCCAACCCCGAGACTCCCTGGTGCTCAGTCCTCTGATAGTCACTTGGGATACAGTAATTCATGTTGACTGGGTCTCTCCTAGCTGGGCTCCATGGCTGTTTTAGCCACGAGAGTTCATACCAGCGGTTGATTCTCTGCTCGGGGAGTGAGCGTTAACTAGCCGAATGGGGTCTTTATGCCCCAGTACATGATGTTGTAATCAAACATAGTTCCTGTTTCCATTGAAGAAAGATTAAAATACCAGGTTGTGTGTTTCTAGACAGACTGCAATGCAAAAGTAAGTGCTGGTGCTGTGAAATCATCACAGCATGTGTCACGGCTGGATAACCGCTGTTTTATCAAATCTTTCTGCTAAGCAATCGGCTGATTAGTTCTGTGGGTTATGGGAATAGCTTATGCTGTGCGTGGGGGGCTGGGGGAAGAGGGGAGGAGGGAAGAGGAAGAGACCTACTTTATTCAAGAGGTTCACACAAAATCCCATCAGAAAGGTGAGCATGAGAGACTGAACCTGAGGAAGAAAAATCTCCCCTTTGGCCCTACAGCATCTCTGTGTCCACTATACATAGACATAGTTATCTGCTAAGTTATGTGTCTCTTTGGCCTGTCCTCTGACAAGGGGTGTGTGAACCACTGATCCATTACCATGGAAAGTCAGATCTGCTTAAGTAAGTGTGTGTGTGTGTGTGTGTGTGTGTGTGTGTGTGTGTGCACGCAATTATATTGCCCTCTGGTTACTTCATGCGACAGTATGAACCACCGTAATGATGCTGCTAAAAACTGACCATATTTCTGTCCAGTGGCCGCCATCCATAGAGGATATAAAGCCACTGGTGCTAATGTTGCGAGAGGGGAAATGTTGTTTTAATTTTGGCTAAAGCACAGGGCTGGGAGTCAGGACTTTGGAGGTTTAACCCCTGGCTCTGCTACTGACTTAAGGGGTGACCTTGGGCAAGTCACTTCAACTCTCTTTGCCCTAGTTTTCTATTTGTAAAATGGGGATGAAAATACTGCCTTCCAGGTCTGTTGTAAGATTTAATTATTGATGTAGGGAAACTTGGCTTACGTGGCCCTGCCTCAATACAGGCCACTGGACTTGATGACTTCTTGGGGTCCCTTCCAGCCAGACATTTCTATCATTCTGTGGTCCTATAAAATGCTTTGAGATCCTCCGATTGTAGGCACTACAGAGTACAAACTATCATTACTATTATTATGTGGCTATGAAGATTTCATGGGTTACCCTCATTAAACGGTAGCCACCTACTTCAGTTACTTAATTTTTATGAGGCTATTAATTTTTTTTATTGTCACACTTGTAAAAGAAAAGATCTAACATTAATATCTGATGTAAATTAATTGCTCTTTATAAAACCCTCAGTGAATCACTTTTCTCCTCTTTGGCCCTGTTGAACCTGGAGATGGGTCAGAACCAGAACCCAGATCAAAAGCTGGGGGGATGTTTGAAATCCATATCCAGATCTGAATTGTGCAAGCTGACCTCATTTATATTCCAAACAGGCAAGTGATTTATCTTTCGTTTGTTTTTCAGTCTGCAGAGTTCTTTGAAATGCTGGAAAAAATGCAGGTGAGTAGCATGACAGATGTGGTACAGCACCCCATTCATGCATTATTTCTCCTTGGGAAAACCGTACAGAATGACAATAAACAGATACTGTGTGGATAGCAAGTTCCCAAAGCAGTATGTGATTTTAACATGGCAGGGTGATCTTACAATACATAAATATATTCCACATCACTGTGTCATTCAAAATAATATTGTCCCAGTCTAAGCTGATCAGAAAGGATGTTTTGGTACTAAATCTGAATATAAAAAATCAGATGAAAATGTATAACTTCCCAGAAGGGTCTTGGTGAACAGCAGTAGATCTTAGTCCCTTTGCGATCAACCCATGTCGTTGTTGAAAAATTCTTTGAAAGCACCTCCCCAGCTTTTAGTCTTTCTAGGGTTTCAGCAAACACCGACATTGTACGCCAATGATTTTCAGGTGCATAAGATTTAGAATCAATATGCCTGTCGCCTCACAGCTTGAGCAATCAGACAACACAAGGCATATGTTGTGCTGGGACACTGTTAGGCAACACGGCCCTGATTCAGTAAAACCGAGGTCCTTTAAAACACGTACGTGGCTTCAAGCATATGAGTAGTCTCCCTGATGTCAAATTTAAAGTGCCTGGATGAATCGGGGCCATAGCACTTTGTAGTGTGTTTTGCAGTATTTCCCTGAAAATGTTCAGTGTCTTGGTATTTATTTAAGTGGCATGTAACAGCAGCAATCTATGGTTGGCTGTATAATGCAAAGTAAACAAAGTGGCTTGGTCCATTTTACCGCACATGGCATGACATTGTCCTAATTTACCTCATGGGCTATGGCTACACTACGAGCTAAGGGTGTGATTTCCCCAGCTTGTGTACACACACTCCTGCTAGCTCTCACCGAGTCAGGGAGAACGTAAATAGCAGTGAAGCTATGCTGGCACAAGTATTGGCAGCAGAAGCGCAGCTGAGATGTGTACATACCACTGGTGTCAGGTGGGTTTGTACTCAGCATGGCTTACCCATGCCTCCGCTGTCACTACCTGTGCTACCGTGGCTACACTGCTATTTATACTCACGCTAGCTTGAGGATATGTACAGGAGCAGGGGAACCACACCCTTCGCTCGTAGTATGGATCCATGACCTTAGAAGGTATGTGTTTGGTAGAGCTGTCCAAATAACGGATTTGAGGGATCGCTGGCAAGTCTTAAAAAAAAAAAAAAAATTGGGGGGAGGAAAAAGTTTTGGTTTGAACCAAAACTAAAATGTTCTAAAAAAAAAAATGTGGTGAATTGAAAAGTAAAAGTAAAAGTATTAATTATTGAACTTATTATGATTATTATTCATTTAAAACAGGCACCAAAACCTGAAGACCAGAGAACTGGAAGCCAGAAAAATAAGGTTGGTTTTGGGATGGATGTTGCTCATTGTGCAGAACTCTCAAAATGATTTTCTGTCTCTAGAACTAGGATTTCAGGGAATGTTGGTAAAGACACTAAGGCCTTGTCTACACTACCAAGTTTGGTCGCCAAAAACTGCCTTTTGGCGACAAAACAGCAAGAGCGTACACACTACAATGGGACTTTTGTCGGGAGAAACGCCCAGTTTTGGCGACAAAAAACTTCCACCCCTACGAGAGACTTTTGTCTTTTCCCCCTCCCTTTATTGTTGACAAAGAGCCAGTGTAGACACCGCTGATTGTTTTGTCCACAGAACTGGCTTCCGCCAGTATCCCACAATGCCTGGCCTGATTGCTCAGCTCAGTGTTTTGATCTCGGCTGCTCTGCAGGTATGCGCCCCTCCCCTTTCAAAACTCCGGGAAGTATCTGTGTGCTGCTCCCTTTGGGGAACAAACAAAGGGTATGTCTACACTACAGGATTAATCCGAATTTAGATAATTCGAATTTGGGAAACAGGTTGTATAAATTCGATTGTGCGCGGCCACACTAAGCACCTTAATTCGGTTTTAAACCACATTAATTCGGTGGTGTGCGGCCACACTACCCCATTAACTTAAACACAGTAATTCGGTGGTGTGCGTCCACACTAACCCTAATTCGAATTAACAAAATCGATTTAGGCTCTACTCCGTTCGTCGAGGTGGAGTACAGAAATCGATTTAAAGGGCCCTTTAATTCGAATTAACTGGCTCTGTAGTGTGGACGGGTGAAGGGTTAATTCGGATTAAGGCAGCTAAATCCGAATTAAAGTCCTAGTGTAGACCAGGCCAAAGAGCAAATCATTAGAATGCTCCTGTTCTGCCCGGCACTAGGGACCCAGCGGCTGGCAGACTGCTGCTGCAGGGGGAGGAGAACCGTCTGCGGTGCTGCTTTGCCATTCCTCAGCACACAGAGCTCACAGAGCCACTCATGATGCTGCTCGCTGAGGGGGCTGTGGGAGAACTCGGAGAGAATCCCAAGATGCCGAGCAATCAGCTCTTCCTTCCCACAACGCTGCACATATACAATGTGGACATGACCTGTTGACAGAGGGAGCAAGTGTGAACACCCTTTGGCGATTTTTGGTTTGTCGACTTTTGGGTGTCGACATAAGTTTTGTCAACAAAACTCGGTAGTGTAGACAAGCCCTGACTAAAAAAACTAAAGGATTTCAATGTTATCTAAAGACATGGGACTAACTGAATTGCAAAGATTAAATAGATGTGCATGCAGGTCCCTAATCTAGCCTTAGGTCTCAGACCTGTTTGTCTTTCTGCAGTCAGCTGTTTAAAATGGTTTGTCTTTTAATTGCATTGTTGAGAAGCTTATGTTGGTAACTGAATGGGAAAATGGTTCCGTTATGTCCTTATGCACTGGAGCATTTTGAAACAGAGAATCACAGGAGGAATGGAAAAGTCACCTACCCTGTCTTTCTATTAATGCAGGACTGGTTTTAAACCCAACTCAGTAGTTCAGTCCCTGTGGTAAACTGCTGTAAGGGAGGAAGTACCTTCGTATTGGGTATGGGGAACTGAACCACAGAGACACAAAGGGTACGTCTTCACTACCTGCCGGATCGGCGGGTAGTAATCGACCTATCGGGGATCGATTTATCGTGTCTCATCTAGACGCGATAAATTGATCCCCGAACGCGCTCCCCGTCGACTCCGGGACTCCACCAGAGCGAGAGGCGGAGTTGACAGGGGAGCCGCAGCCGTCGATCCCGCGCCGTGAGGATGTGAGGTAAATCGATCTAAGATACGTTGACTTCAGTTACACTATTCTCATAGCTGAAGTTGCGTATCTTAGATCGATTCTCCCCCCCCCCCCCGGTGTAGACCAGCCCAAAGTGACTTGCCCAATGTCACACAGGAGGTCTGTGGCAGAGCAGGAAATTGAGCTGGGGTCTCCTGAGTCCTAACCATTGGACCATCCCTCCTCCCACCTGGGTTTACACTAGTGATTTCCCCTCCACAAGGTGAATTCTTCACTGGCCATTTACAGACCAGTCGGATCAGCTGGCCCTTTGTTTGACCAGGGGCAAGAATGCTTCGTGGCTTAGCTTCCCGATCTGTCAATTTCTTATCACACCGGGGTGTTGTGAGGATAAATTTGTGTTTACAAAGCGCACAGCACTGGGAACATTAAAACATACGTTTACTCGCTGTACAAGAGGGCAGGTTAAAAATGTCTGTATTAAATGGAAACGGGTAAGGATGTAATAAATGCCGAATGGAGATCAAGCAATCATTTCTGTGGTGTTTTGATCTTTTGTAGGAAGATTACATCCCATACCCCAGCATTGATGAGGTAGGTGCTTTCAAGCATGTTTGGATGGCTGCCTTTTTCAAAACGTTAATGAACGTTATTTGTAGGGGTTCTTCCCTGTCTTATGGATGAGCTGTGAAACCAAGATCCTGGCCACATTGCTTGTTAAATGCCATTTGTTCTCTAGAATAATGGTGGCTGTCTCTAGGGCTGAGCTCTGTGGTTTTATAATTGGTTTTGTACGTGAGCCTAGAGGCCACAACACATTGTCATAAACGAGGAGAATAAATAACAAGCACGGTGTCCTGTCCTGGCTTAGTTGCATTGTGGGGAATTGTATTTCATGTACCTAAATTCCTCCAGCAGTTCCAGGTCGATGTGATATTTGTCCGATCATGGAGTTATCACCAGACCTGAGTAAGGGGCAATATGTACCTGGGCCACCTTAGGAACAGACTAGGGACTGAATTCTTCCTCTGGAGAGGTCTATCGAGTGTCTTATTTCCCCGTTTCCTGGGGGTTGGGGGAGTACTGCGGTTTACTGGTGCGGATTGCTTCCTCTTCCACACAGGCTCAGCTGTGCTAGCCAACATATTGTGAGGGGGGAGCAAGGGGGAGCCCACTCCCTGCCCATCATCACAAGATGGGGAGTAACCGTGATATGAGTGAGTTTGTACCAAGGAACAAGGGGGCCTTACATCCCTTTGCTCCCCTGCATGAACACACAAGGCAGTTCACACCTGAGCCTCGTCTGCCTTGAACTGTTGCACTCCGTTGCTGCACGCTGCTAAACTGCTGCTACATTGCAACTCAGAGGTGGCTGCAATTCAGTGGTGTATGAAATGATTCTATATGCTGATTTTCAGTCTGTAACACACTTTTGGATCCTTCGGGATGAAAGACACGCTGTAAACGCAAGTCATTGTTCCTGCACTGTTTGTCACTGAATTTTTTACTTACCTCATTCCACACCAGATGGGGACTGCATTTCAGAAATAGTTTGCCTGCTGTGTTAGCAAAGTGCTTTGGGATCAGCCTGGGTGAAAGGCATTATATAAACATAAGTCGTTATAAAGGGATTCATTTAGGGCCTGATCCTGCAGCACCACTGAAGACAGTGTAACTGACTTTAAAGGCGGGATCCTGCTCTGGTTGGAGAACCACTATTGGTGATGAGTGTTTTATGCTTTCCTCCACCCCCAAAATAGCCTGAAACAAAGGTAATGCTGTTAACTTGGTGCTTTTACGCTAGAACATTTCACTTGCAATCTGGCTACTCTCCCAGACCCTATGGTAGTACTGCTATTGATCAGCGACAGTGAGAGAAGTACAATGTCAGGCTTGTCGATTGTTGATTCCTACAAGACTAGGAAGTATTGATCATGCTGATTTGACAAGCATGTGGCTGGCTATTTGATTTTTCCTGCCTAGTGGCTAGCACACCTTGGACCACCCTCCTCTCCCATCTTTTAAGATGGTGTGATAAGCATTAAGGGCCCATGACAGCTGAGAATGAGTCCAACTTCTACTGCAGAGGTAAATGCACCCTTGGTCTGTTGTTACTCAGGAAAACTCACAGTAAAGTCAATGAGAGTTGTTCTTCCTGAGTTAAGAGTGAGCAAGCGGTGAATAAAGACCCCAGGAATTTGGCCCTACCTGTGTTGGTTAGTTGCTAATGAACTTATCTGCAAGTGGTTGGAACACAAACGATTGTTTCCCAGCTTTCGCGGTCAGCATGAAAATCTCATTGGCTCTGGATGTTGTTATGAATCTCGTGATGTTTGGTGTGTTTCTTAAAGCCTCAAATCCTGGAGACACTTGATGAAATGAAAGCTGAGATTCTAAAGGAAAAAAAGAGCATGATGTTTTCTAGTCCTTTTAGTTGCACAGAAAATCTTGACAATGTGACTCAAGGGCACCCTTAAAGGCTCAGAAGGCCAGTAAAAAGTGCCCCAAATGTATTATTTAAAAAAAATAATTATGATTTTTAAGCCAATCTCATCGATTTGGGGGCCTGACTCATGATTTTTAAATGTTTGGCGTTGGCAATACTGAGCTCTTGACTCCTCTGTTTCTCCTTAATGGTGATGGGAGACTCTAAAGGCTTGATCCAAAGCCTGTTGAAGCCAATGGGAAACTCTCCCACTGACTTCAGTGTGCTTTGCCCCAGCTAATCCAGTCCCCGTTGCACTGTACTGTATCCTCACGGCACTGCATCGGAATTCTTTACAGATTTTAGAGAAAGGAAGCCCTTATCCCTTGATCATTCTGCCCCAGTTTGGAGGGTACTGGATTGAAGATCCGGAAAATCTCAGCACGCCCACCTCGTCGGATAGCAGCATCTCTGAAGAGGAAGAGGAAAACCTTAGCCCTAGCACGTATGGGTATAAATTAGAATGCAAAGGTGAAGCCAGGGCATACAGAAAACACTTTCTAGGGAAGGTCAGTGGTCAATATGCATCTACATTTCTCAGTCTGTTGTAAGCTATCTGTTTAGTGTGGCACTCTGTCCCCCTCTAATGGTGGCTAGGCAAATTAGAGATTAATGAGCCTGCTATAGCGTTAGCTAAGAGAGGAAGGCCTTTTAGCTCACGCAATAGAGCAGGGGTAGGCAACCTATGGCACGCGTGCCAAAGGCGGCATGCGAGCTGATTTTCAGTGGCACTCACACTGCCCGGGTCCTGGCCACCGGTCCGGGGGGCTCTGCATTTTAATTTAATTTTAAATGAAGCTTCTTCAACATTTTAAAAACCTTATTTATTTTACGTACAACAATAGTTTAGTTCTATATTATAGACTTGTAGAAAGAGATCTTCTAAAAACGTTAAAATGTATGACTGGCACGCACAACCTTAAATGAGAGTGAATAAATGAAGACTCGGCACCACACTTCTGAAAGGTTGCCGACCCCTGCAATAGAGGCTCACACATTAAGATCCAGAGATCCTAGATGCGATCCTTGATGCTGCTGACCTCCCTAGAGGCATCAGTGTTACGTGTATAACCAACAAATTTTCTTCAAGGAGGATAATTAGTTGGCCAGTCGAAAAATGTTGATTTATTTTCATCAACATTTTAAATTACAATGAACCCCCTTGCACAATTTTTGGGGGGAAACCTCATTTCGTTTTTCAGCCATCTCTAGTAACTAGTGTTTATCTAGATGTAGCCTTTTGGGTGAGGACATGAAAGGGCACTTCCCCTGACAACATGGCTGCAGAACTCTGGCAGTTTCACTACTGGACTCCCTCCCCTTGCACCTTTGTTCAGCTATCTCTGTCATTTTGCCATTGGGCTGATTTCTCTGTTAAGAGCTGACAGTGCACTCATTGCTGTATGAGATATATAAATGAAGATAGCCCCTCTTCTGAAAAGTTTATCCAGCAGAGTCAGGCAGAGAGAAGACAGGATGGACCGTGGGAAACCCAGAGGAGTGGGTTAACTTGGAATTGTGTGCCTTCCCCCCCTCCCCAACAAAGGACCGGGGTTGTGAGTTTGAATCCCATCATTTCAAGAAAGGTGCTATTCGCGCAAGTGCTGGGAAGGGTCTCAAGACTTTCCTGGCCCCAGTCACCCAACCTGGATCAGCATTCTAAAGCGTGAGACCCCTGTCACTAAACTCGGAAATCGTGTTCCATCGGGAAAAAGCCGTTTCCACTCCACCAAAACTTTTTGCTCAATTATATAGATTTCAACAAAATTTGGTTTGAAAAAAGAATTGGGAAAACCTGTTTTGAAAATATCAGAACGTCTTGTTTCAATGTTTTTGGAACAGAAAGTTTTGATTTTTTTTGTTTTGAAATGCCTTTTCGTTTAGAAATGTACTTTATTGTATATGTTAAAAAATGGTCAAAATCCTAACAAACCATTTCAAATGGAATTGTTTGAGTCATGCCACATGACAATTTTTTCAGAATTTCATTTTGTAAACAAAATTCAAAATTCAGACATTCACAAGCTGAAACGTGAGATAATTATTATTTGGTTCACCTCTGACCCTTCCATTGATTGGCTAAGAGTCTGAGTTCTCAGGCATGCTGAAGGTAGGACAAGAAGTAATTGACTTAATCTGCAACCAGGGAGATTTAGATTAGACATTAGGAACCTTCTAACTATAAGGATAATTAAATACTGGAATAGGCTTCAAGGGAGGTTGTGGAATCCCCATCATGGAGGTTTTGAAGAACAGAATAGACAAACACCAGTCGGGGATGGCCTAGGTATACTTGGTCCTGCCTCAGCTCAGGGGGATGGATTAGATGTCCTCTTGAGGTCCCTTCCAACCCTATATTTCTATAATTTTATGCTGTTGTCTCATCCTGAGGGAAAAATCCTTATTTACCTTTGCCAATCAAAATATTGTAGTCCACTTTGTCTCTGTGAACAAACGAAAGACAGAGTAATAAAGTCTACAGGCTGAAAAATAAATAAGCCCCCTCAGGTTCCCAAAGGACGGAGACATGGAGCATTTGTGAGTGAGGGGTTGGAGAATTTCTTAAGACAGTAATGAGTCATCCTCAATTTTCTCTTGACACGGGGACCAGTGTCTAAGAAGCATTCTAGGTAGCGGGGATACAGGTTGTTGTCAGTAGATAAGGCTGCCTTATCACACCACATTAACACATCTCTTCTATTTTTAGGATCATTTAAATTTTTATTGTACAGCCAGCAGCCTAGGAAATCTGATCCTTTCTATTAAGTGTGAAGAGGCAGATGGTACTGAATATTTACGGATTATACTCAGGTATGAAACTTCCTCCCTTCTCCCCCCAAAGTTAAACAAAAAATCACTATTTAAATATCCTTTATCTGTTTTTTTCACCCTAATGGATGTAGATGAACTTGCTACTCATAGATTTAACACGCCACACCTGGGTATATGAAAGGGGTTGGGGTATTATTTTACTTTCTCTGGATTTGGAATACCATATCTTGAGATTGCTCTGGGAATAAACATTAGACTTTGATCTATAGCCAACCCCAGTGAAACTGAACATAAAAATCTCTGTAAGGATATTGGATAATATCAATCATATTTAGCACCATCTGTTCTGTAAACTGATGAGACCCAGTGTCTGAATTATCATCTTCGTCCCTCACCAAAATATGAATATTTTAACACAACAGAGCTGCAGAGGCAATAAAGAAATTAAGGCAATCGTTACTAGCCATACCCTGGAAATGCAGCAGGGTATCATTTCCAAACATCTGGAAGAGATTCCTGCTGTGGTTTCACTGAACATTACCAGTCACAATTAGTATGCATGGAAGCTCTGGAGGCATATCTATTATCGTAACTTATTTCATGCTCTCTGTTCTTCTCTTTTCCTTTCTCAGGTCCAAACTGAAAACATTACATGAAAGAATCCCCCTGGCAGGACTTAGCAAGTTTCCTAGTATCCCACAGATTGCAAAGGTAAACTGTCTATATTGCCTGGAGAGAACTGGTTTACGAGACGGGGACGCTCTAGGTGCACCATGGAAAGCTTTGCAAATGCAAATACTGTGCTGCTATAACATTTGTCTTGGGTGCAGGAGGTGGAGTTCTCAGACAGTCAACGTAGAGAATAGTATCCAGATTTTAGGGCTCTATTCCTGCTTCTGTTGCTTATTTGCTGTGTGACTTTGGGCAAGTCACTTACCTGCTTTTTGTCTCAATTTCCACGTCTGTAAAATGGGGATAATATAATGTGTACATCTCAGGAACAGTGAGTCATAGTAATGTTAAGGATTGTAAAGATCTTGGAAATCTTTGGTGGAATAGTGGTATTGGAGTGGATGGTGGTGTTGGTTATTCTTACTACTATGTTACATGTGAGCACAGCCATGATCTGCTGCTGCCAGAGAGGAGAGAAGGAATTAGGAGAGAGGGGGGGATGTAAATAGTCTGCAAAGCCATAAAGAAAATGAAGATTTCTGCTATTATTTTGTGTGTTGGCCTGACAGAACAAGGGGCAGCAAATACACATATTCTCGCTCTCTGTCGTAAACAAAATGCTGTTCTAGTTTGCCTGCACTATGGTATCCTTATCCTTCTCTGCAGGGAGCCAAGTGATAATGCAGCTTTATTTTGACTCCTACTTCAGCAAGGGAAAAACTTTGCTAAGCAGTTTATTTGGCAAATTTTGCCCTTTATTCTGTTCTCACATTATCTGAGAACAGACTGTGATTTTTACCAACTTGTTTGTATGCTTTGTGTGGACAAATTTCAGGCTTGCAAACTGCTTGCTGCCAGCAGTCAATCTTCATGAGTTTAATATTTGAGCTGTGTGATTGGTTGCCTTTCTGATGTGGTATTTTTTCTGTTTCCTGATTGGATGACTTAATCTATACAAACAACTGCAAATAACAAATTTTGCTTTGCCACTGGCCCACGATCATTTCCATGGACAAATGTCTGCCTGCATGCACCTTTGTGAAATGAGAAGAGAGCTGTAAAGGTGGTTTGGAGCAAAAGGCTATATATGTGCCACTTAAATGGCAATGAATCATTATTCACTTAGGTCTGTTTTGTGCAAACCCTTTAATGTGAGAAGTCAACTCCTATGAATAGTCTTCACCTGTAAAATCCTGTGACGACCATGCCATCACTGATTGGATTAGAATTAGAGACGGAGCTGCGAAGACAATGCATGCAATTTAGAGCCGAATTTGGCTCATTATATTAAGTTAGCAGCCTTGACTTTGAGTATATCTTCCCTCGGTGGCAATTCCACATACATAAGGAGAGTGGAATGCTGGGGGTGAGATCTGCTGTGCAGACTGGAGAGGGCAATTCTGCCTATACGCTGGAGGAATCGAGTTCTCGCAGGGCATTGTATTTATTCCGCCCCCACTGAGAGGTAAAAAGAAGCCAAGTGCTTTTATAAACACTGTCCTCCCGTCTCATGCTGATTTTGTTTTTCTTTGTGGCAGGCTTTCTGTGACGATGCCTCTGGACTGAAATTTAACCCAGTCCTGTACCCCAAGGTGAGGATAAAGACCATAAAATACTCTGGCTCAGGAATGCTATATCTGAAGGGGCTGGTTTTCAAAACTGCTTGTGTCATTGCGTGCCTAATTTGTGCATTCATTTACATATGCAAAATAAGTATATGCTACCAGGATTGGCTAGTTGGCTGCATAGCTAATAGCAGTAAAGCGAGGAGGTAACATTTTTGGGGGTGGGACCCGTGAGACACGCAGGCAAGCATATTTTTATTAACTACTGATGGAGTAAGGGGAGAGTGTGACTCAGGAATTCTAGTAAGTCACTGAACTTTGTTTCCTCACCTCAGTCACTGGACCTGGGATAAGGTCATAAAAGTTTAATGCCCCTGTCACGTGAGTGGGGTCTGTATTCACTGACACCAATGGGTACTTTTCTATGAACGCTGTCGTTTAGTAGCCGTGTCTCTTTAAGGACGTTTCTGCCTGAACCATGTGCAGATGCAGTTCCTAATATACTGTTTTTTTAATTAGATGAGTCAGGATGTGAATTTGGAAATCCTCAAAATAGGTAGAATGCAGTAGCAAGTCGAGCCCGGGCACCGTATGCCAATTGATTAGTTTAACTTAAAATAGTATTAACCCTTCTTCAAGATGAAGGGCATGACAGCCTCTTTAGGGGTTACATTCCCACCTCTGTGCTGGATGTAGAACAGAAAGGAGGCTCTTCGCTACTTGCATGCAAACCAAAAAGATGTTTAATGGCAAACAGCTGCTACTATCTTGGGGGGAAAACACATTTTCTAATTTCTATGCTCCTGTTGAGTCAGTGTGTCAAAGTCTCATTTGTAGAGGGTATGTAATTTTTGGTATGACTCTGGCATGAATGTCTATACACACTGTACTGTGCACAAAAAGAAGCTTACAGAGTTTGTCATTGTGACATGCAATGATTATTGCCATGCATATATCTAGCTAATAGATATCCTAGACTATCAGGGTTGGAAGGGACCTCAGGAGGTCATCTAGTCCAACCTCCTGCTCAACGCAGGACCAATGTGCAGATCCCTAAATGGCCCCCTTAAGGCTTGAACTCACAACCCTGGGTTTAGTAGGCCAATGCTCAAACCACTGAGCTATTAGATCTGTGACTACATGAACCTGGCATGGTTTGGGATTTCAGTAGAAGCTCCAGATTCAGATCACATCCCTTGAAATGTTCACTAAGGCAATGTCTATACCGCAATATAAGCCTGAGTTAGTAGAACTCGAGTTAGCAGACCCTGGGTTTGTTAACCTAGGGCTTAAGCATCTACACTCATTTGTAACCTCAGGTTAGGAATTGTTGAACCCTGGGTCCCAGCCTGGGCTCCAGCATCTACACTGCATTATGAGGACCCGAGTCCAACCACCCATATTCCAGGCTTCCTAGTGCCTTCCCAAAATGTGGCCACTCTAGCCCTTTGTTTGTGGTGCAATGTGGGAAAACTTGACTGTCCGCCAAACTTGACTGTCCAGAGGACAAAGAAAGTCAGCCTGTGGGATTGTGGAATACTTCTGGAAGACTTGCAGAGTATGAGTCCAGTGGGTCTGCGTCTACATTGCAAAACAATAGGACTTAAACCCTGGGTCCTAGCTTGACTCAGGCTTGGAACCTCCACCCTTGTGGGATCTTGGATTCAAGCCCTGGGTTAGCGCGATTTGTGTGTAGATAGAAGGGGGGATTAGGCTTGAGCCTGAGTTTGAACCCTGGGTTTACATTGCTGTGTAGACATACCCTAAAGATTTTACAAAGCTTTTGTGCTAATCTGGGGCCAGATTGGAGCAAACCTAGGGCCAGTTCATGGTGTTGTATCCAAATCATATGGAACTAGTGGGTTTCACGTGGTATCAATGGAAAACTTGGTGAGTCTCACTTTGAGATTTTTGGGTCTGTTTGAAACCAAAACTTAAAGCTAAGCTCTGGATCTGAGAGCCCACGTGGGTTAAAACTATAGAAAATGTTTATTTGAACTGCTTTAAAGCAAAACCCCTTGAGAGTTGCTCCTTTCTAATGATGATGAAGCAGCCCTATAGATTCGTACCTCTCTAGTGATGACGTTGATTTAGGGTTAAATTCTGGCATTTAATGGTTAGAATGAGGTTGCCCACAAAAAATTGCAGTGACAATATACACTTAGAGAGTCATCAAATTCTTGTCACAAGCTTCAAGTCAGATTTATGCCTGTGCACGAGGGGAGGTGTGACCCCTAAAACTACTTAACCGCTATCAAAATGCATAGGCAGGTAGTTTGTTCTATTTTGGGGTGGAATATCTTATTCGGGTGGTTCATGCAGAGCTGTCACCATAACGTGTGAGCCAGGAGATAGTTCTGAGTTCACGCCCACTTTTGCCCAAAAGAATTCTCTGTGCTGCTGAGAGCTTTCTCAACACTCTATAATTCTTCAATTCATACTTTGGCCCACAGTCATGATTGCAGGACACTTGAAGAAGCATGACGGTTATATTTAAGAGTGTGTTTTAATGACATAGCCTATTTTTGATCTCATTTAAAAAAAAAAAGAATAACACAAGACAAGACAAAACAAGCCATAGTTGCTGGGAACTGTGCCTCTCCTGTAACAATGAATCTCCCCTCGGTAGGAGACAGAATTGAAGGTGTGATGTATTTGCAAGCCCCATGCAGGGGAGAAAAAAGGATGTTGCTCCTTTTACAGCCATTATTAGTTAGAACATTCATGAAACAAACTGAAGTGGCTCATGCTGTGATTCTCCAGTGACCATGAAATGTCCTTCCTTCCCCGTGTAGAACAACAATGGCAGTCATTCAACATGACTGAGATTTTAAAAGGAGTCCAAGGGAGTTAGGCACTAAACTCCCATCTGATTTGGACGCTTAACTCTCTTGGGTCTTTGGAAAATCTCAGCCTCTAGGCAGGAGCTCCACATTAATGCCATTTTTAAAAGCAGCAATGAAGTGTGAGTGGGAAGATACGTATGTAACCTCACTTGTGTCATTGGCAGAGTATGAACTGGAGACCATTAATGCTGACAGCTTCAGTCTCTATTGATTAAACTAAAGGAGTAATTCTATTAGCAGATAGCTAAAGTAGGCTCTTCTCCTTTTATGTGGACCAACCATTAGAGGGGGACAAAGACACACACTGTACTACTGTGGGGGTACATGGATGGGGCTAACAGGCAGATAAATGTGTGGCTGCCCTGTGTCCAGGTTTTGAATATTTGAGCTGGTTTAGTTGGTGTAAAATATGAATAAATGGCCTGAACCATCTAGGTTTGGGCCAGCCTAGCTCCATGGAGCTGTGACAATTTATACCTGCTGAGGAGATGTGGGGCGGAACAAAATGTGCTCGTTGAAAGAGATCTAGCAACTGGATTCCATTTGTTTGTTTCCCTGTCGCTACTCATGCAATTGTGCTACCATAGAAACCTCTTAGTGTGTAGTTAAAGCATAGTCTTCATTTTTGAAGTATCTTGTATAGATTCATAGATTCTAGGACTGGAAGGGACCTCGAGAGGTCATCGAGTCCAGTCCCCTGCCCTCATGGCAGGACCAAATACTGTCTAGATCATCCCTGATAGACATTTATCTATGTTGGAGACAGAGTATGTTAGAAGGCATTTTCACCACCTTTTGGTGTAAACCAAGGTCAACATTATCTTATTCTTGCTTTGTTATTATTTGGAAGTTGAGAACGTCCATTGCACTGTTCACTAAGAAGAATGTCTTTGACGAGTACTCTCCTATTAATGCAAACCTTTAAAAAATGAAGGTGCACCATATGCTGCCACTCAAGAGGAACCTCTAATTCACCCAATGGTAGAGTGCCAAAATCTCCCATCCAAACAACCCCAAACTTTTGGGAAGTTCAAATCCAGATTCATTGGAAGGCTGTGGGAGCTGTGGGTTCTCAGCACCTTCCATGATCAGACCTTATGGGCCAAATCTTCTGCTGATGTAAGTAGTGTATTGAAGTTCAGGTGGATTTACTCCAGCCTGAGGACAAATGTGAAGCTGGTCACTAAAAACTTGAGGCTGCTGTTGAAAATTTGGGCCCTTACATTCTATGGAGGTATCAGTTCAGTTTTTCCCACTACTCTGTACGTGCCCCTGTATTTTCATCTTGGCATTGGTTCCCACTGCTCCATGCCTTCAGAGTTCTCAATAATTTTGGCCCTGCCTTTATCTTCATGTTCTCCCGGCCCTCTTCCTGCTTCCTGTGACTTACCTGCGCTGTGTTTGGTGCATCCAACCACCATCTTTGCCTTTTTTTCAGCCAGGCCCATCTTCATGCCTTTTTCTACACTGCCCCAGGTGCCTGGAATATCCACTTCTCTCTCACAAACCAAACTCCTTCAATTTCCACTTCCAAGAAATACAGGAAAAGAGAGCCCCTGTTTGATGATGTCCACTCTACATGCATCCCATCCATTCTTGTTTGTACTGTTTGTCTTCTCTGGTGCCTCTAGACGAGCAGCCATTTGGGGCAGTGACCTCTAGAGCTGGATGGAATTTTTTTGGCCAAAAAATACAGATTCTGGGTGACCGAAACATTTCACAAACGTGTGTCAAATTCACTGGATTATTTCCATCAACCACTGCCCATGCAAATTCTGAGAATATAGAAATGTTTTGTTTTGCTGTTTTCGAAATGAAATGTTTCGATTTTTTCATTTGCAATGACTTTATGCTTTCAAATTTTACTTCAGTTTTGTTTAAAAAAAAAAAATTAAAATGTGAAGATGAAGCAATTCATTTTGTTCCAGGTTGAACAAAACATTCGATCAGTACCAAAACCAAATGGTTTGCCAAAAAATTGAATAAAAAAATTGTTTTGGTTTTATCCAAAACATTTGGGTTTTTAAAATGTTTTTGGTTCAGCCAGTCAATCAAAAAATTAATTATTTGCATAGCTCTAATGATTTCTAAACTGCTTGGCCCTGAGTCTCCACGGTACTGAGCCACGAACAAGTGACCAATAAGAATTTAGGGCTGTGTAGACATGGAAGACTTATTTACCCTGCCTACAGAACTTTACCATTCCAGTCTAAATTGTGCTTCTCCTTAATGCCATTTTTTATCTATGCAACATTTTAGACTCCGGTTCTACAAATTACTGAATTAAATCATTCAAATTATGTTTTATTCCAGGCATCCCAGATGATAGTGTCTTATGATGAGCATGAGGTTAATAACACATTTAAATTTGGTGTGATTTATCAAAAGTTTAAACAGGTAAGTAACCCCATTGTATTGTCATTAAGCATATTCTAGAAAGTAGCTAGGGGGTGGGATTTTTAAATGTTGTGCACCCAAAACTCCAGCTGAAGTCAATGGGGGCTGACCGTGCTCAGCACCTCTAAATGTTTGTAATTATGTTGTCGTGTTTTCATTCTAATAATATGTTTCTTATTACTTGCACATTTCCCTTGCTCGTTAATAAATGATATGATTCAAAAATAAATGAATATATAAATCAAACCCTAAGCTAAATTAATGTGAAAATGCATTTTAGTGGCCATGGTTTTTTTTTAATCAGATGTTTGTTTAGACAGCCAAACAGTTATATTTTCACTGGAAGTCTTAGACTATGGAGATATGCGTTCACTGAAAATGCTTTCATTAACCTAGGAGTTTAGCATGTGCAATACAGACAGAGATGAATCTTATAATTTAGCAGATATTATTCTGACAGGCATTTGAATTATATTTCCATATTTCATCGTATTGTGTGTTGAATAACTAATGCAAAGACCATAATTAAGGTCCCTTTGTTATGAAATATACCAAAGGGGAGATGATTAAGACGCCAATGTTCCAATGAAGTATTAATTTGGATTTAATATTAGCCATACTTTCTCTTCCTTTTATTTGATTCTAAAGTTTCTTGCAGGGACTTTTAATAAGAATGTCTTGGCTTTTAGGCTTATTGTGAACCTATCTGTTGTAAATATTATTTATTGTTTGGATTGTGGGTTATAGCATCTAAGAGACCAAATTATGGATTAGGGCTGCATTCTACTAGTCACTCTACAGACAAGTAACAAAGAAGTAAGGCTCAGATCCTCAAATGTATGTAAGTACCTAACTCCCATTGATTTTAATGGGAGTTAAGCACCTTAACCTTTGAGGATCTGGCCTTACTTCCTGCACCAGGGCAGGGTTGCTGAGAGGATTCAGGGGGCCTGGGGTTTTCGGTGGCGGGGGTCCTTCCACTCCGGGTCTTTGGGGCACTTCGGCGGCGGGTTGTGGAGCGAGTGAAGGACCTGCTGCCGAATTGCCGCCAAAGACCCAGAGCGGAAGGAGCCCCCGCCACAGAATTGCTGCGGAAGAAACTCCGGGTCTTCGGCAGCGGGTCCTTCAAACGCTCCGGGTGTGTTCGGCGGCACTGAAGGATCTGCTGCCGAAGACCCGCCGAAAACTCTCATGGGGGCCCCTGAAAACTCTCGTGGGGGCGCCTGCATGGCCCGGGGCCTGGGGCAAATTGCCCCACTTGCCCCCCCCCCCAGGTGGCCCTGCACCACGGAACATATGCTTGAAGTGTCAGAGAGGATGTGACTGGTGGACAAACAGACAAATGGGAAAGAGGGAGCGTGAGATAACAAAAAGGAAGAGTTTAGCAGAAAAAGTAAACACTTGTCTTGCTGCTTGCCTAACTAATTCCAGAAGGGCATGATTTGAAGGCATCACAGCAGAGGTAGGTTTTGAGGAGGGTGATACGGTAGCTTTTGGAATTGTGTTTTCCTAAAATCCCCCTGCAGTTTCAACTGAACACGGTGGACTTCTCACTTCCCGACCTGTGCAGCATTAATACTGCAGTGTGATAACAAACAACTGTCATGGCTCCCTGCAAAGGGGATTGCATTTCAGTGCTGGGAAAAGTGATTCCTGCACTTGCAGGATCCTTCAGGATGAAGGGTGGTATAAATGTTAGATTGCCGATTAGAAGCTTCAGCCAAACTTCAGCGGACTTCACCCCCCCGTGTCAGATGTTTCGAATCATACCATGGTCTGTTCCTCTGCCTGGTACTTCTGTACTACATGACTCCAGCCCAGTGGCTTTCAGCATGCTGTGGAAGTAGAGCATGTGTGGATAAGAGCAGCATAGTTGATTCAGGTTGATTGCTGAAGACAGGCAAGCCTGCTTTTTTGGAGTTCTTTTAGAAAGCAGAAGATAAATCAGTGTCCATAGGCTTCCATCAGCACTGACTGCTTCAGCCAACATGATGTGCGGACAAACTCATTTTTCTGACTGCTACATATAGAAGGAGAGAAACAATCAAAGGAAAGTGACTTTTCCATTGTTTCCTGACTTGTGCATTCACTTACCTGTCTGTTATTGCCATGTGGCTAGTTTTTATTTAAGAGGTTTATTTTTTGAGAGAGAACTTTTTCAAAAAACTGTTTGGAACTGGGAGGTTTGTCAGAGCCGATCCTTTTTTGCAAACAGGTTTGGTTTTGATGAATTGAGTTTTTCTGATGAAAAACGTGTTGTGTTGGAAATTTCCCAACAAGCTCTAGTTCTGAGGAAAAATACCCAAAGAAATAAAGGCAAAAAAGTGCTCTCGTAAGTAAGCAGTATAGCTATCCCCTTATTACATCTACCCCCAACCAACCCAGTTCTCAGAGTCCCATGCATTCATTTCTTTCATTGTCCTTCTTAACAGAGTAATTTATTCCAGCTCCCGAACGCTGATACCTGTGGTAGTTTCTCTGCTCAGAGAGAGTATGAATTCTTTCCATACTGCGTCCAGTAGGCCCAGCCTACGCACCCCACCACAGTATGCTCATTTAAGTTACTTTGCTAGGTGGAGATTGTGCTACCTGAGTCTGATTCTGATCTGGGTTTACACCAGAGTTACTCCATTGACTTCAGCGGAGTTACGCCTGATTTATGTTGATGACAGTAATATCAGCATCAGGCCCATCCTGAGTAACAAAAGCCTGACATTTGGGAGTGCTGATGTCTCAACCCTTATTACACCATCCATCTCTGGTTTTAATGTGTCTTTAAACGTTCAGTTTGGCCCCTGCATCCTTAGAGTGAAAACTAGCCTGAGTTTTTTACTTTACTTGTTGATGTATTTTGCAGACTTTAGAGGAAGAATTGTTTGGGAATAATGAAGAGAGCCCTGCTTTCACGAACTTCTTGAGTTTGCTAGGGGAAACCATAACACTCCAGGATTTCAAAGGGTGAGGAAAATAAAGGAAACCGTTTTATAAATAAATGTAACAAAAGACCACTTAAGGTGTAAAAACATCCAATGCCTTAGAAACAGAAGTCACTTCATTGCTGGACTGTGTTGTACAAACCAGAAACAAATGTAACTGTGGCTGTTCTTTCAAAACCCGGGGAGCTACTCAAGGGGTCAGAACGGCAAAGAAAAAAAGAGTAGCAAATTTGCTTTCCTTTGTTTTAAAACACCAAGTGTCATTTCAGTCACAAATGACACTAACCCATATGGAAAACACACTCAGCATGTTCTCGTGTACTTTTCTAAGTGTGTTGCAAACCTATAATGAATTTGCAGAACTTGAACAAAATGTATCTGATCATGGTATCAGATGATCATCCCTGTCCTTTTGCTCTGCGCCATCATTGCAAAAGGGATGATAAGCTGGCTTCACTAGTAAGGAAGAATCCCCAGGTAGTATAAATCTGAAATAGCAAGTCACATGCCACTGGCCCCATAGTACCTGTCATAGGGGGCATGTCTGGGGAAGAAGTCCTGGTTGGAACACCTCTGCTGTCGGAATGGCCCCTTGTATCTAATGGTAGCTGGGTGCACATTAGAGCAACCTTGAAGGTTGCTCCAATGGGCGCAGGTTTAGGGAGCTATAAAGGTGGCGTGAAGCCTGACCCTGCAAGCCCTCCTGTTTGCTTCAACAGGAGTTATGCATGCATAAAGATTGCAGGATCAGGCCTGAATGGCTATTTCCCACATCACACTACCAGAATTGGAACCAATTATTAGCCTTGTTGGCTGTCTCTGCAAGGAAGCTAAAGACTGAGTAGCCCATGGAGACTGAACCCAACCAAACTTTCGCTCATTTTTACTACTAGCTGTGGACCGTTTTTTTTCTTTTAAGTTTCTGAAACATTCTGATAATTTGTCTTCCCCCTCTGCTTTCACACAGTTTGAGGCTTCCAGGTTCGGCCTGAGACTAGGGCTGGAAATGATTAAATACCCAAAGAAAGGCTGTTTTGTAGGCTTGGAAATCTCAGATAATTACGTTAAAGATCTGGTGTCAGATGCTTCTCTGAATTCCAAACCACTGAAAATTAAGCTCCAGATTACTAATCATTATACTTGCTAACTATATATCAGCTAATTATTTATAACAACAATAACTAACTATATATGGATACATGAGTTAGTTGTCTATATCACTAACTAGCTAACTAGAGATGCATACAGGAGATAGTTGTCTATATCATTAAATAATTTAACAACAAGCTATGGCCTTGGGTCAATGTTCTGTTAGTATTTATTCAGTTCTTTCCAACATTTTCTTTTATTTCTAGTTTCCGAGGGGGCCTGGATGTAATGCATGGTCAGACTGGTACCGAGTCTGTGTACACTGTATTCAGGGACAGAGAGATTATGTTTCATGTCTCCACAAAGTTGCCTTTTACTGAAGGAGATGCACAACAGGTAAGAGAGAGAGCCGACCTTGCTTTAGAGAGAAACTTTTAAACAGAAAGGAAAAGCTAAATATTGGAACTGAAGATGAGTTTGGAATTATTAAAATGGACATTGGGTATCTGTAATGAATGAAAAACTGAACATTCATTTCCAGTAGGCACCTTTTACGTTTGTATGTGCCACCTAGAACATTTTAAACGGTGTGGTTTTATAGTCCCTAAATTCAAGCCCTTTGAGACTGGCATGGCTAAGAAAGTTAAGGCTTTGTCTACATACAGAGCTGTATCCCTTTAACTATGTTATAGTTAAAATGGCACAAACTAACGAGTGTGGATGAAGTTATACTGGTATAAAGGTGCCATATAACAGTATAGCTTATTCCTGAACAGGAAGGGGAATAAATTATATTGGTATAGGGCACCTTTATACAAGTATATCTGTGCCCACATTAGGGGTTGTACCAGTATAAGTATTTTGGTAAACCATCATGCCCCCTAACTGATATAGTTAAACTCGTACAATGTGTGTAGATCAGGCCCAAGTGATTTCCCTTAAATATTGAGCAGCAGAGATTTAACAGGTGCTGATTTTAATCTAAAAATCCCTGCATGTTTTTGACCTAATGTAATTAGCGACGTCACAATTTTCAGGCTTGGGTGCCTAAAGGTGGATACCTAAATCTATAGTTAGGCCCTGAAATGGCCTCATTTTCAGGGGCGTTGGGAGCAGTGGAGGCTCAGTTTCAAATCAGGATACTTATTTAGGGGCCTAAATATGAATGTAGGGAATTAAATTAATAGATTTTAAGGCCAGAAGGGACGATTATGAACATCTACTCTGACCTTCTGCATAATAAAGGCTATAGAACCTCACCCAATAATTTCTATATTAAGCCCATAACTTCTGTTTGAGTTATAGCCTCTGAGAAAGAGATTCAGTCTTGATTTAAAGACTTCAGGTGACTGAGAATCTACTCTGTCCTTAGGTCTAGCTTCGGGCACCCAACTTTGAAAATTTTGGTCTAAGTAATTGCTCATGCAAAGTAGATATTTGTTTTCAGGAGACATCTGAATGCCTACTTTTAACTATCGAACATTTATGCTCTCCATTCAGCTCCAGAGAAAGAGACACATTGGTAACGACATAGTGGCAATTATCTTTCAAGAAGAAAACACTCCATTTGTCCCAGATATGATTGCCTCAAATTTCCTGCATGCATACATTGTTGTGCAAGTGGAGAGCCCTGAAACAGACAATGAATCTTACAAGGTAAGAGGATTCTGAAAGTGAAACTGCTGAATTTTGGTTCTGCGAGTCCACTTGAGATCTGACAATGGATGTGCAGTTGTCACCCTTAAAAACTTACCAGTTTTAACTTGGATAAATAGATTAGGGCCCTGATGCTGCAAAGACTGTTAAGTGCTTAATTTTGTGATTAAGATGACTCACAATACATAAAGCTAACTATGAATGTAAATCTTTGAACCTTGCTATGGGCCCAATCAAAACACCATTGAAGTCAATGGGAGTATACAATATCCCCTTGTACTTCCTTTTATTGACTATAGGAAATATCTTGAATACTGTAAATACTAAGGAAAAGCACTTAAGCACTTACTTAATTTAAAGCATATGGAAATTAAGTACATGCTTAAAGTTTAAGCACTTGCTTACTTTCCTCTATGCCTACATGAAAAGAGACAGTCATGACAATCAACAATTAATCCTTCCTGCAGTAAAATCATGATTAGATTTAGATATGTCAGTCTGGCATATGCCTCAGATTTGTGGATAATAAATAAGTAGTTCACAAACTATTTACCTTTTTGTGGGCTGTTTATGTATATTTCATATTTGTGTTTATACTGTGTATACACATAAATAGTGAACATAAGAACATAGAACAGCCATACTGGGTCAGACCAAAGGTCCATCTAGTCCAGTATCCTGTCCTTCGACAGTGGCCAATGCCAGGTGCCCCAGAGGGAATGAACAGAATAGGTAATCATCAAGTGATCCATCCCCTGTCGCCAATTCCCAGCTTCTGGGAACAGAGGCTAGGGACACCATTCCTGCTCATCGTGGCTAATAGCCATTGATGGACCTATCCTCCATGAATTTATCTCGTTCTTTTTTGAACCCTGATATAGTCTTGGCCTTCACAACATCCTCTGGCAAGGAGTTCCATGTGTTGGCTGTCCGCTGTGTGAAAAAATACTTCCTTTTGTTTGTTTTAAACCTGCTGCCTATTCATTTCATTTGGTAGCCCCTACTTCTTGTGTTATGCGAAGGAGTAAATAACATTTCCTTATTTACTTTCTCCACACCAGTCATGATTTTTTAGACCTTTATCATATCCCCCCTTAGTCGTCTCTTTTCCAAGCTGAAAAGTTCCAGTCTTATTAATCTCTCCTCATATGGCAGCCATTCCATACCGCTAATAATTTTTGTTGCCCTTTTCTGAACCTTTTCCAATTCCAGTATATCTTTTTTAGAGATGGGGCAACCATATCTGCACACAGTATTCAAGATGTGGGCGTACCACGGATTTATATAGAGACAATATGATATTTTCTGTCTTATTAGCTATCCCTTTCTTAATGATTCCCAGCATTCTGTTCGCTTTTTTGACTGCCGGTGCACATTGAGTAGATGTTTTCAGAGAACTCTCCGCAATGACAAGGATCCCCCTTGTCCACATGCTGGTTGGCCCCCTCAAAGAATTCTAGTAGATTGGTGAGGCCTGATTTCCTTTTACAAAAACCATGTTGACTCTTCCCCAACAAATTATGTTCACAGGTTAAGGTACATAAATGTTATATATAACCATTATTATATATTTAAATGTATACAAAAATGTCTAGTACATAAGTGTTTTAACTCTAATAGTATACTAATTCTAAGTGGAAGATATTAAATTAGTGCGCTATTTAATTTTTTAATTTGTCTTAGAACATTTTATAGCCTTCTCTACACAGTGCTCAAATGTACACAGAATAAAAATATGTATATATATATTTTATCTGATAACTATTAAGAGAGAATGTAAGGTATAGTTTTAAAAATTGAAATACATTACTTGAAGCCGTGAACAAAAATGGAATTCCTATGAAAACTAATTAAAAGCTACATACAATTAACCATAAAATTTAATGTATTTAATGCAGGAATAAATGATTAGCCTTGGGAATGGGTATATCTCTAAGGCAAGTGCTGTGATCTAGAGTAACCTTTGCTTAAGCCTTTTGGTAAACTTTTTGTGCTTGTGAAGGTGATATGACTGGTAGTGTTACAAGGGAACCTGCAAGTTTTCTATCCAGAGAACAAGGAACATGCAACAAGATTATTACAAAGACCATGGCCCGCTGCTGGAATTGTGCTAAGACATGGTAGTGAACTTAGAGGTGAATCCACCCTGTGTGAGAGTGTAAATGATTCACTTTTCATGTCTTCTTAGCCTTCAGGCTCTTAAAGGAAGTGTCTAACTATTACAGCAACTTCTGCACAGCAATATAGTGTCCATCCCACCCCACCCCATCTGCTAGGGACTGTCCCTTCCTTTCATTTTCTGCACACGCATTCAAATTGTGATCAAAAGGTCAAAAGGACACTTGCCGTGCGCACTTAGCTGCTTGTTCCTGCATGCTTCTCTCTTTACGCTCCTTGGCTAAGCAGATGATTTTCTTTGGCTTTTAACATTTAAGAGTTAAATCTATTAGAACTGAAAGGGACATTTTGCAACAGAAGCCAGCCACGCAAATTAAATCATCCGAATGGAAACATCATTTCACAACGTTAGGCTCTAGCAGGCGATTCTGCCTCAGTGACTGCAGGTCTGGAAGTAGCAAAGTGGGATTTATTAGTGTCTTACTTTCTTTTTTCCCCATTTCCAAAGAGCCCCTTCCAATTTGATGGCAAATCTGCCTTGAAATTTACTAGCATCCATCTTTATACCCTGCTTAACTCTTCTAACAAGTTGGCTGACTGCCAGAGCACTGCAGACATCAGTAACAGGCCAGAGAATTAAAGGGGCAGGCGGTCTATTGACCAAGCAATGTCAACTTACTTGTCAGATGAAGATCTAAAATTATTAGCCAGCTTGGTACATTAGCCTGTTCCCACATTTTGAGGGTACAGTGTGTGCTGCTTGTGACCGGGAGCAGACTAGAATCTCGCATAGCCCTCTACGTGTGTTGATTAGGGCAGGGGTACACTAGCGGAGCAGGTGTGAAAGGTAACGTTGCATACCACTGAGACAGGGTAATTCTTTATTGTTGGCACTGTGATCGGACCGACAGGCCCCAGTCAAGGATCAGGGCCTAGACTCTGTAAACAAGATGGTCCCTGTCTCCAAAGAGTTCACACCCAAGGAACAAGTGATTATGACAAATAGAAGGGGGCACACACAAGGTATCAGTGAGACGACTGTGATTAGTGTAATAAGGCAATGGGACCTAGAGGCGAGGGCACAGGACGGGGACTCAGGAATTGGACCCGGGTTTCCTAGCGATGCCACTGGCTTAAACACTGTGTTCTAGCCAGTGAGTCTTCAGTACAAGTGGAAATCCGTCTCAGAATGGGGATTTGACTTCTGCTTCTTTGTAAGAGGAGTTTATTATTGTGTCTGATTTGTATTACAGCGGCACCTAGAGGCTTGCAGTTGAGAACCAGAGTCCTGTTATGGCAGGCGTAGCACATCCCCACAGCGTAAGCGCTTACCATGACCCCAAAGAGCTTGCAGGCTAAATAGATAAGGGGGGAAAAGAGGCAGAGAGGCTTGCCCGAGTTCACGCAGCAGATCAGGGGCAGAGCTGGGCATAGAATGCAGGTCTCCTGACTCCCAGTCGAGTGCCCCTACCACTCTGTTTCTCTCCATTGTAGTCTTGTGCCCCTTAAGTAGGCTGGGCCGTAAACGGATACAACGCATTTAATGAATGTATGCCTTGGAGCACGTCTGTGTTATGAGTCTTGCTAGCAGCCTTGCCTGGATTGCTGCCGAGATACTCCAAGAGACGTGAATACTCTGGGCATTACTAATATGTTGTTGCTGCACCTGTGCGCTCGAGTAACTCATATATTCTTGCTTTCTTTTGGTTCTAATAGGTGTCGGTCACTGCCCGGGAAGATGTCCCTTCGTTTGGTCCATCTCTGCCAAGCCCACCAGTATTTCAAAAAGTAAGAAATAGAAAGCACAACGAAGGAGGTTTTTAAAACCCAATATCTACCCAAACGGTCTCAAAGTTCACCTGTTTGTTATGTAAAATATAGTAGGGTTGAGGTCAGAGCTAGAGTAAAACTCTAGGGCCAGATCCTCAGCTGGTATCAGTCAATCAGTGAGCGAAACTATGCTGAGTTGGCTGATACAGGTGCTGGATCTAGGCAATTCATAGAATATCAGGGTTGGAAGGAACCTCAGGAGGTCATCTAGTCCAACCCCCTGCTCAAAGCAGGACCAATCCCCTGACAGATTTTTGCCCCAGATCCCTAAATGGCCTCCTCAAGGACTGAACTCACAACCCTGGGTTTAGCAGGCCAATGCTCAAACCACTGAGCTATCCCTCCCCCCAATTCAGTGGAACAGTGAATTATTAACCTTTGATCTCTAAGGATCTCAGCAAAATCCTGAGTTGCAAATAAAAATTATTTGGTGGGAGGTTCTGAATCTAGTCCAAACCAACACATAATTTGGCACAATTCTCTGTACAAGAGATGCCAAGGAGCAGAATTCTGCAGCTATTGGAGGGTTAGGATGGAAGAAAGTGCATTGGCAGAGCTGTTTGGAGCAGCTTGAACCAGTGCCTGCCCATGCTGAATGGCTCTAGTCATTGCTATTTAGCCTTCGTTTTCATGAGACATGAATACACCCACAAATATTGTTTTAAAGAAAAACAAATTAATTTAGATGTACTGTATGTTTAATTCCCTAATTAAATATGATCTATAATATATCCCACTCTATAGCAGTATCTGTGTGTACATAAAATCAGACATATATTTAAAATATTTTTTTTACATGAGCGTATCCCATATTGGCTGTGTGTGTGTAACTAAATTGACAGTGAAATCAGTCCCTGTGTAGAAGATCAGCACAAGGCTTGGGATCCACGTAAGCCTTCAAAATAGGGCTTAAATTGGATTTAATTGCATGTATGGACCTTGTACTGACCCCTGCACAGTGGTGAATTTCCCCCCAGTTGCACATACTTTTGCATATAAAATGAATGGTTGTGTTGAGTCAAGAGGTGATGCACTCTTCCCTCTGAGTCACGAATAAACTAATGCCCAGCATATTATTAATAATACCTCGCTCTTATATATCACTTTTCATCAATAGATCTCAAAGCGCTTTACAAAGTAGATCAGTATCATTGTCCCCAGTTTCCAGATGGGAAAACCGAGGCACAAACAGGTAAAGTGACTTGCTCAAGGTCACTCAGGAGACCAGTGGCAGAGCCAGGAGTAGCATCCATATCTTCTGAGGCCTAACCCAGTGCTTTATCCACTAGGCCACACTGCAGTGCTGAAGGTGTTTTCTTTCAGATGGGACCAAGGTGTTCTCACCCTTCCATTTGAACTCCCTAAAGAAATTGTGGCTGGGGGGTTGTTAAGGGTTGTTGTTATTAGATACCTCCTCCCCACTTTGTCTTCACTGACGCTGGAAGGAATGCTCATTTGGTTAGGTCTCTGATAAAATGCAGGAGAAAAAGTAAAGCAGGATGGATTTGTAACATGCCGCTAATGCTCAAGTGTCCAGGATGTGACGTGTCGAGATGTATTTGCTGGCATGGAGGATTATGGACAGATTAGCTACCTAAGAGTATTTAAATGGTTTTGATTTACCAACCTCGCTTCACTTATCCCTTTCTAGAACACAGAGTTCAGGGAGTTCCTGCTCACCAAACTCATCAATGCTGAAAATGCTTGCTGCAAATCTGACAAGTTTGCAAAGCTGGAGGTAAGGAGAGTAAATATTTTTTCTCTCTCTCTCTCTTTCTCCTGTCTCTCTCCCACCACTGTCCTCTCTTTTGGGCCAGTCACAAAGACTGAGTAAGACTAGAAGAAACTGGTGTATGAATGGAGGAAGTTCTTACCCATTCATCTTCCTGGGCTACCATGTCCCCAGTGCAATTTCTAGGTCAAAATTTTCCTTAGTGAAGTAGAACCGCACCCCTTACCTAGTACCTCCTTAATTAAGGGAAATTTTGAAAGTGACCCTCTGCATAGGTGCAAACCACTGGTGTGGGGGATGATGGGACCACGTCCCCCCAACTTTTTACCTCTCTATGTGGTACAAGCCTCATACATTCACAGCCTGTCTCCCCTCCCTGCATCTTTTTTATATGGCCGAGTGTGTCCCCCTCAGTTCTCCGCTGCCATGACATAATGAAATGTGGGCCCCAATTTGGACCATATTGTCTGGGTGACAATAGACACTCTTCCTGCATCTTTCATCAGGAAGGCTGGGGGGTTACATGCTGTGCTACTGTATTAATGTCTATGAACGTCCTCCGGAATCTATTTGACCCAGACTTTATTATTGAGCTGGGTCAGCACATCAGGGCAACCAATGGAAGAGCCACCTCAGTATTTTGCTGTCTAGGCAGTTTGTAGTCACGTTCATGGTACATTCTCGTGCTGTTGCAATAAGATGCTGATTCCCTGAATGTCCTGGGCTGAGAAGATTGTTTCTACCACACGGAGCCATTGTTGCATCCATGTTACCTTGTTCCTCTGCACCAAGAGGCTTTCAAACCCAATGCACACACCAGCAACTGTGTCCCTTTTTATTCTTTCAGGACCGGACACGAGCTGCATTGCTGGACAATCTCCATGATGAGCTCCATACACACACACAGGCAATGCTAGGGCTGGGGCCAGAGGAAGATAAGCTTGAGAATGGAGGTCATGGAGGTTTCTTGGAATCATTTAAGGTAAAGAAAAGCACCTTACCTACAGCTGTAGATAGCATGGGCTATGGCCCAGTAAGCCCCAGAGTAATGAAAGATCAGAGAACCCAAGCTGATCCCAAGAGTGGCTTTTGGGAAAAGGGGTTTGGCTTCAAAGCAAGACCTGGGGATCAGGTAGAAGAGATTTTTGCAAAAGGTCCCAATCCAGCAAAGTACTTTTAGAACATGCTTAACTTAAAACAATGGAATGGAAGTCAATGGGAATGCTCACGTGCTTAAAATTAAGCACATGCTTAAGGGTTTTGCTGGATCAGGGCCTGAATCAAGGAATCCCTCCTCCAGAGACAGTGCCGTAACAAGGGCGAGGCGAGTGAGGCACTCGCCTCGGGCGCGCAAAGCGGAGGGGCGCAGCTCTACCGCATTCGGCAGCAGCTCTGCCGCCGCCGCTTCTTCGGCGGCAATTCGACAGCGGGTCCTTGAGTCCCTCTCAGAGGGAAGGATCTGCCGCCGAATTGCCGCTGCCGCTTCATTCATTCTTCGGCGGGTCCTTCTCTCCAAGAGGGACTCAGGGACCCGCCGCCGAAGAGCCTGGAGCCGGCCCTTGCCTTGGTTGCAAAAATTCCTTGTTACGGCTCTGTCCAGAGCATTTGATAATTCCTTCACCTGCCACTATCCATTACTGTTCATGCCTTCTTGAAAGCATGCCGGTAGTACTCAGGGTGAACGCTCAGATTTCTGTGACAAATGCCCCTCGTGACCTTATTAGCTGCAAGAGGCGTCTCGCAGGCTGCTCTCCAACCTCCGTAACTGCTTTTGTCAGCAAATGCTTTCACTGCATTGCCATGTGCCGCTGGGCCGTGTCTCTGCACAGAACCTGGTCGTTGTGCTGAGAGACGAGACGCTTCCTAAGATGATGCTTCTGAGCTGGGGAAGTAAACGGGCGGCCTGACAACAGGACTAATAGGTGGTGGTTGCTGTTTTTAATGTAGCAAACAAGATGAGAGATGGGTATATGTGGAGAAGAGAGCAGGAAAGGGGCTTTAGGTACCCCGGTGACGAGGCTGGTCTAAATGCCTAAGGGGAGAAAGGGGGAAGGAGAAGAAGAAAATGCAAAAGTCTAAAGAAAAGCGAGGGAAGAGAATAGAGTGAAACGCTGAGTGACCGCTCAAGGGATTAATTGCCGGGCAGAGTTGGATTCCTAATCATGGTGGAACAGAAATGTACTCAGAACTTTGGGGAAGTCCCTAAGGAAAGGAGGCTGCCGAATAACAGCGGTATCTCTTGGACAGGCTCCATAGTGAAAGAAAAGAAAGCGTGGCAGGAAGTGTTTGCATGTGTAAATATGAGGCCAGGTGTTACCGGTACAGCTATACCTGTACACTATTCCGGCAAAACACTGCTAGTGTGGAGGCAGCTCAGGCTGGCAAACCTGCGCTTTTGTTGATATAGTTTATTCCAGCCTCCCTGAGTAAATAAGATCTACAGGCAAAAGCACAGTTTTGCCGGTACAACTGCATCTAAACTAGGGGCTTTTGCCGGCACAGCTGTGTCTGTCAGGGATCACGCCTCATCACACCCCTGGCTGACATACTGTGCCAGTGAAGGTTTGTAGTGTAGACCAGAAGATAGAAAAATAACACCTGAGTTTAAGAAGAGCTGATGCAGACAGTGTCAAGAAACCCAGGGCTACTCCAAACCCAGCATTGTGACATTGTTCACAAGCAGTAAAACATAAGGAAGCGCTACAGAATACCATAGTTCAGAATTCCAAGACAACTTCCCCTGTATTCCCCCTCCGGGGTCCCTCGAAGGCACCCACATCTCCCTCCCTCCTGACCAGGATCCCTTCAGACCCCCACATCTCCCTCCCTCCTGACTGGGTTTTTTCCAGGCTTCACAGTTCCCTGCCTGCATTGTGATATCCTCAGAAAGCCAGACTGCCTAAAAGGCCACCATCTCAGCTTCCTCTCCAGAGGTTATGAACAGCGTTAATTGCCAACAGTTTTGAGTTCCCACGCAGCTCTTTCTAAGCAAGCGCATTTGTTCTTAAGGTAAAAGCATTACAGAGAAAACATATTAATAACAATAAAAGAACCTACACACATGCTATACAGCTTACCAGAGGTCACCCCAACTCCATCCCCGAGCTCTGGCAGGTGCAAGGATTGGGGCTGTCCCTTGGACAGCAGGTCTTGTCTGTTTGCTGGATCAGAAAGAAGGCCCTAAGTCAGGTTAAACTCAGGCTGTTTATCCAAAAGTCTTTTCTTTGTTAGTTGGTCTCTGGAGAATCCAGTCTGAACCGCCAGTATATGTAAGTCTTTCCAGGTGGCGGTATGTGCCGGGTTGGGGAGGGGTTTACAGCCTGGCTGGTTTCCCTTAATCACCACTCACTGTTTTGAATTCCTGGAGGAGCTGTGGTAGCCCTCCCCCATGGAGCAGAACACACTCATACTTAAACCACTCCATTAAAGCAATGGACCCCGAAGATACTGCATGGGGTGGCAATATCTGTCACACACTCTATTCAGATGTGGAGTCAGAAGAGCCTGTGCAGATTATGGGTGGGCTCGGATGGGCATGGGAGCAAAAGTGGCACTAGCTGTGTCTCTGGGTGCCTGCCTTGCCAGCACTGTGGCACAGAAAATGCAGGTAAGGTCTGGGTTGGGAGAGTATTGGCTTTGTCGCAAAAAGCTGCCAAGTGGGTACCCAAAGCGAGTGGGGGCTGCCAAATGGCTGAGTCAGTAGGCCACACGGTTGACAATCTGATTCCAGCCGCTGGCTGGGTTGTTCTAATAAGACAGAGAGAGTCTCCCATCAGCCCCCAGCACGTATGCTGTGGGATATCTGGAAGCTGGATGCTTTCCTGGTTGTTGTTCAGAAACATATGGCTTGCCGAACAGGGCTGATATCCTGGAACTTTTATTCATCTCCCTCTTGCTATGGCTCATGCCCTGCAGGCCACAACCCTGTTTCTAGCAGCTTCTGAGGGAGAGGAAAAGAAGAGAGGAAGATGAAAGCAAAACCATACGTAGCTGTTCGCAGGCTAGTCTGTGATTTTCAAGCTGTTCAAACAGCTTTTGCTGCCCGAGGGTTTAGACTTTTAGGTGTGTTTCCTCAACCTGTTTATACTCGAAAATATTTATTTTATGATTGGTAAGGCAAAGTAAGCAATAACGGCTACCAGAGACTACAGAATTATTGCATGTGACAGTGGTCCTTCCATCTACCCCTTTAAAACATTCAGGTTAAGAAATTTGGGCCTAATTTGAATCTCATTTGTGCTGTTTTTACACTTGTGTAACTCTTTTGACTACAGTGGAGCTATGCCTGATTTACACGAGTGCGAAGCAGATTTCACGTACCCAGCAAACATGAGCAGTAGAATTACCCCAGATGTAGAAATGATACAAAGCGGGGTCGTAATCAGGCCAACAGACACATCGGTGTCTCATGTTGAGCACCCAGAACACTTTTCACAGAGCAATCGCACTATATCTGATCTCTGTCCTCCTCATCAAAGGAAACCTGCACAACATCTGCAAAAGACAAGTCTGGGAGCCTAAATTCATAACTTTACTAGACACTGAAAATCACAGACTGAATAGAGACATTGGATTTATGGCTTATTGCAGCAATCTATAAGCCACTAACCTCCCCTCCTTTCCCCAGTGCTTTTTTCCTCTTCTCTCCTCCCTATGACTGGAGAGGAGTTAATGGACCACTTCACCTTGAATGGTCCCTTGAAATATGTGTTAACTATTTATACTAAACAATCTGTTCCACCTTGTATTTAACTGTGACACTGAATACCTTTCCCAGACCTGAAGAAGAGCTCTGTGTAAGCTTGAAACTCTCACCAGCAGAAGTGGGTCCAATAAAAGATATTACCTCACCCACCCTGTCACCCAGAAATTAAGACACACAAAATGAATGGACAGTTTTGAAATTTTTGGCCACAACCCCTCTGGGTGCTGGATTCTGATTTCACACCATTTTTACACTGGCATAACTCCACTGAAGTTACTGCTGAAATCAGAATCAGACTTATTTTCCCCATCTTTAATGATACTTCCTAGCCTAGCTCCTAAGTGTAGGTGAGGTTTCATCAGATAATCATTGTATTGTGTTTAGATGTGAAGAGCTGTACAAGTGCTAAACCTTATTACGCATGCAGAATACTGTAAGTCAAACACGCACAGCAACCCTGTAATCCTGTTATCTGCCTCCCACACAGATCATAGAATATCAGGGTAGGAAGGGACCTCAGGAGGTCATCTAGTCCAACCCCCTGCTCAAAGCAGGACCAATCCCCAGACAGATTTTCACCCCAGTTCCCTAAATGGCCCCCTCAAGGATTAAACTCACACCCCTAGGTTTGGCAGGCCAATGCTCAAACCACTGAGCTGGCCGTAGGGTGACCAGACAGCAAGTATGAAAAATTGGGACAGAGTGTGGGGGGTACTAGGTACCCATATAAGAAAAAGCCCCGAAAATCGGGACTGTCCCTATAAAATCGGAACATCTGGTCACCCTACATGTCCGTTAGATTCACTCTCCAAACCAAAATCAGCAATACTTTACAGTAGACCCACTAAAAGTTATTCAGAACATCACTAAAACCACACATTCGTTAGACACAACATTTATTTCAAGAGATTTTGAGAGATTCATGTTACATGAGATTTTTGCCTATAAGAAAGTGGACTGTATTGCTCTTTTGGCATTTCAGGGTCTCCCAGTGCATGTGATGAATTCAGCTGCCAGAGTGATTTTGCGTTTGCCTTGTTACCTTTGGACAGCACTGCAGATGTGCCTGATAGCTTATGTCCTTCACAGTGTGTTTCCAGTGTAAATATAAAATGAGAGGAGAAATTGTAAATAAAGTGGTTTGGAGGGAGAGGGGAGGGTAGAAAGAAATGACACGTGTTCATTTCTATTTGCCTCCTATGCCAGGCCTGCTTTCCAACTGCTCATCAGGTGCTGCAGCTGCCTCAGTTTGGTGGCTTCGGTGATCAGCTGTCTGGGTGCTTTTAGCCCCTCCCCACAAAGCCAATGTCCTCTCCTTCCTGGCTAAAGCAAATTAATTCTTTCACATACGCCCCAGAATTTCAAACCCTTCCTTTGCTGGCAGTGGTTTCAGCTCTTCACGGCCAGGCGGCATAGCTGAGGTGTAAAGGAGCTTGGACCCAAATCCGGAAAAGCATTTACGTGGCTAACTCCTATTGAAATCCATGGGAGTTAGGTGTATTCAGGTGATTCCAATGGGAGTTAGGCACCTAAATGTCTTTGGTGTGTCCCTCTCCCTGAGTCTCCAGTTTTTGGGTCCATGTAGAGAAGCAGCCACTCCCACCCCACCAGTTTACATCACTCACCACCCCCAGGAGCTACTCCCTACCTGGGCTCTCCTGCCAGCCCGCCTTTCAGGCTGCTTTTCCCGGCCCTGTCACAGGCACCTTCCCTGGCTCCCTTTCACCTGCGAATCCAGCTTAGGTCCTTTCCAGAGGCTGCTCACCTTCTCGCTCGGGAGCCAACCAACAGCCTGCCCTTCTGTCCCGCTCTGACTTCACGCTGGTTGGCTTTCATGTCCTTGTCCTCGCCCAGCAGGCCCCGGGGTGGGCTCAGGAGCAGAGAGGAAGCCAGACACAGGGCAGAGCTGGAACCGGAACCTTGCTTGAAGGCCCAGATCACTGCGGGACACCTCCCGTTTCAGTACAAGCCAAGTGGCACGAGTGCAAGGTCGGACATGGGGATCCGTCCTTTTAGAATTAAAGTCGCAAGTGTGAAAAATGCACCAGGCAGACTTCGGATTTTAAAGTGTAACATGTTTATTTCTAGGAATTGTGGGTTATAAATATTCATTATTAGCTGAGATGAAGTGGGCTCGTTTTCAACCTGATGCACAGAGAATTAGGCATGGCAATCCATCACCAATTCAGAGAAGAATAGGCCATGTCAATAGATTTTGTTTTTTTCCTGCATATCCTGCATAAGCATACCACAAGCTTAACGTTATTTAAAGCGATTCGTCCCACAGAAGTCAGCGGGACGACTCACAAAGCTAAGTTTTGTGTATGTTTAAGTCTTTGCAAGATCCAGACCATAATATTTATGACCCCTAAATAAATGCCAGGAAGAAATGCTAACATTTTGTTGACAGGGAAAGCTGAGTGAGCCAATACGATACATGAATTGAGAAGCACTTTATCTGAATATACTGAACGTAGAGAACATTAGTTATGGATAGTAAAGATACCGGTCAGTTACAATAATTAATTTGATTTTCAAGTATTGCTAATATATACATACATCTATCATAATAAACCAATCATTATGGATTTATGTTTTGTCTTGATTTTGATTGCAGGAAGGGGTACCATGATAGTCATTTCTTTAGGCTGAGCTGACACCTACTGGTTTAAAAAACAGTCACATCAGCCAGTTTAGTACTCTAGCATTAGCTGTTGTGACTGGGTGCACAGCACCCTGGGGTTAGAGTATTTCTAGATCAAAGTAATCGGCAGAGAGTGGCACATATCGTAATATTTCCTTTTCACTGAGGCCCAAGGGCTGTTTTTTTAATGGTAACTGTTAAGGATGCAGATACGCACCTAGTGGGAATTCCAGAGACACTTCAGTGCCCAACTCCTAGAAGTCATTGTTTCTGTTGAGTGTTCTCAGGGGGAATGTGGTCTAATGGTTAGAGCAGGACCTGGGAAGCAAGATTTCTGGGTTCTTTCCCTGCCAGGAGACTATTAGCCATGATTCTCAGGTTTTACTTCTGGCTCTCCCACTCACTACCAATGCTTACCTGTCAGAGACACATGGTAGACAATGATGTGTCCTCAGTCCATAAACTGTGTGCATAAAACTCATTAAGAGGAAAACATATGTCATGTTTGCTGTAAGGCGTGCCAGATAGGTGTCCTCTACTGCGTGCTAGGTAGCTAATAGTGGTGCAACATATATTAGTGTTTCCAACCTTTTCAGGTCAGCAAGCCCTTAGTCAAAGGGTCTGCGACCCTCTGAAATTTATTAGATTAAAAAAGCGTATCAGTGACCCCGCTCCATGTAATTTGGTGGGTGTGTTTTGAGAGGGTGACAGAGACTATTTGAAGGGGTGGGAGGGTATTGCGGGAAGTGAGGGAGATTTTCTTTGCTTTACAGTGTAATACAATTCTCAATGACTTGCCGCTCTCCTGATTGCCTGTTGTGATCCACCGGTTGAGAAACACTGACATACATGAGAAAAGACTATTTAATGAACTTGCGTGTCCTTTTCTTGTTGTCTAGTAGAACTTGGCTTGTGGGTGAAAGTGACGGTGACAATCCATCTCCTGAAGGATTTCTTTGGTTGGTTGTGGGTGCAGAGGGGCCTTTATGCCATTTTGCGTGATTCATGAGAGCCACCCCATGACCCACCTACGTTCTGTTTTGAGGACTTAGACAATGCCGACACTGTGTGAATTTTAATCCTTTGTGAGCCGTTCGTTGCATGGACTCAGCTGTCGACATTTGATACACGCTGGTGAATTTAATTGCACTTGTAGGTCACGTGGTGGTATTGCTGCTTCATCCTAGGATAAGAGTCAGGTTCCCGGGTGGATATCTGTGTTCACAAATTCAACTCTGTGTTGCAGAAGCTACTGACTCTGATTTTCTAAACTATGACAACATCCCGTGGAGATGCAAAGGGGTAGTTAGGGCAAGGAAATAGTATTCTGGTCTAATAGTGAGGGCTTGTTCCCTGTTCCTGTTAACTTGTCTACAGAGAGCCATTCGAGTCCGCAGCCATTCAATGGAAACCATGGTGGGGAGTCAGAAGAAACATCACAGTGGAGGGATCCCAGGGAGCCTGAGTGGAGGAATCACCCACAACAGCGGTGACGTAACAAAGACCACCTTCTCGGTGAGTACAGCACATCTGCTGAGACGCAATCGCTCTTGAGAGGTCGGAGGAGCAAGCGGTGAGAGAAGACCTATTGGACTGTTTAGTCTATCCTTTCTTTCCCGCACAGTACTGTTCCCTGCAGTCTATGGAAGTATGCTCTAGTGCGGATAAAGCCTGGATCGGGTGACACGAGACCTGGGGGACTATCCCTGGCTCTGCCACTAACCTACTGTATGACCTTGGACAAATCACTTCAACGCTCTGTGCCTTTGTTTATCCTCCCAGTCCCACCCTTTGTCCATCTTGTCTAATGAGATTGTAAACTCCTCGGAACAGGGACTGTTACTTAATATATGATTGTGTAGCGCCTGGTACGCTGGGATCCTGGTCTCTGTCAGGGCTTGTAGGTGATGCCATAATCATATGTATATTTCCAAGTGTTGTAATCAGTTCAGGTTTAAATATCTCAAGTGACAGGGCTTCCACCTCTCTCTTGGGGAGACTCTTCCAAAATCTTATAGCTATTGGTGCAGATTTACAAATGTTAGGTGCCTAACTCCCATTGATAGTGTACTGATAGTCAGTGGGAATTAGGTGCCCAACTCCCACAGGTGCTTTAGTAACCCCCCCTAGGCACCTCTCTATGCATTTAGATGCCTAAATATCTTTGTCAGTCTGGCCCATCCTCGTTAGGATTTTTTCTCCTTCTTCAGACCTAATTTTCCTTTTCTGTCACCTGATTAGTCTTTGTTATACCCCCTTGAATGACCCTAAACAACTCCTTTCCCTTCTATATGCTTCAAATCCTTTATCCTTGGGCTATCCTATCCTCTTTCAATCTTTGGTTATCCAAACTATACATCTCCTTAAAACTCTGTAGGCAGAAATATTCCTAGAAAAGGTGCATTAATGAATGTGAACTTGGTTTGCAAGGCTGGTGTAAGACATCATGTGGCAATTTTTCTAGCCAGTTGTGCGTAATAAGGATGAGGATGAGGATGAGATCTGTGTGGCAGATTGAAATGCTTTGCTTGTTTTGGGCCAAATTTTATTCCATTGCCTTTGGGGGAATTATAACTTTCAGATTGTCTTCCCAGATGTTTTAATCTGTTTTGGGAATGGCATGAAATATGTCGTAGATCTTCACGCTGAGGGGAAAATGCACAGCTGGAAATAAGTGTCTGGAGTAATTTCCATCTTGGCTATGGGCAGAGGAAGATCCTGGAGAGGAATATTTTTCTTTTAGTTGAAATTGGAACGTTTTGTTTTTCAGCCTCCTGTAGCCGCAGCAACAGCCAAGAACCAGTCAAGGAGTCCTATTAAGCGACGGTCGGGGTTGTTCCCCCGCCTGCACACTGGATCAGAAAGCCAATCAGAAAGCAGGACGAGATGGTAAGCACTAAAGTGCAGCAGTAGTAATTGTTTTGTCTGAGGCCTTGTCTTGACTAGGAAAAGAGAACATGCTTGTTATCATGTAACCCCACCATGACTTTGCCCTTAGCATAGACACTTTTTAACTCATGTTAGGTGATCGGGGCTGACCCTAGGCTCCCCTCATTGGTTGACCACATCGAGCTAAGTGTTCATCTTTGCCTATACGAGGGGCAAAGTCATGGATGAAGTTGTGGTAGCTAACAGATGTTGGCTGCCACAACGTCATCCCTGACCTTTTTTCTTAGTCAAGACAAGGCCTAAGATCTCAAGGGCTTCCTGCCTTCCCCATGAATCTCCACACCTTGCTAGCTCTAAAAGCAACGTTACTGTTGTTCATCTGATTAAAGGTGAGATGTCAAAGTTTGGCTAAAAGTAAACAAACAAACAAACAAACAAAAACTTGCTTGAGCGATTCCAGAAGAGGGGGAAGTGACATGAATGCTCTTGCTTAAAAAGGGTATTTAGGCTGTAAATCTACACTGGTCTCTGTGTCAGAGTGAGTGATATGACAAGCACTGTACACAGATGGGCTTAGAATAGAATGAATCCAAGCAGGGAGCTGGCCTGATTAAAGCTAGGGTCAGGTTTTTTAATATGATTCTATTTGCACTATAGAACACAGAGACTCAGGTGGGCCAGATTTTGATCAGAACTGCTGCAAAGTTCAAGAGGGTTTGGATCTAAGATGCTGACTCAGCCCATTCTGGAAAGAAGGTCCAGACCCAAAGTTTAGGTTAGGATCCGAACTTCCCCAAAGTTTTTGAGGGGTTGTAACCCGTGGCCCCTGCCAGCAGACACCTCGTTTGAAGAGGAGACTCCTCCACCCACCTAAACCATGCATCAGTTTGGCCAGCACTGTAGAAACTATTGTTTGATGCTAGAGACGTTGCATACTGTTGTCCTTTTCTAAGCAAGATAGCGAACATCTCCTCTGCCACAAGTCAGGTGCCAGGATCCCTTATAAGTGGGTTTCATGTCAGGCACTGATCCTGAATCAGCAATTGTTGCTCTGGATTTACATTGCCTAATAGGGAGCAGAATTTGGCCAACTGTTTCTTGTCTCTTGTATAATCCACCCAATCTGTTCTTTGCCCCTCAGTGACAGTGTCTCAGGAACACAGAAGACACCAGACGGGGGACATTCTTCTCAGGACATGAAATCAGAAACCTCATCTAACCCTAGCTCTCCTGAAATATGCCCCAACAAAGAAAGGTAAAGAGAAAAGGCTGGAGTTGGCGCAGCATAGTTCTCCTTAATGCCGGAGTTCATATCAGTGCAGTTCAGTAAGGAGCCTACAGACAACCAAACGGGAGGAAAGTGAAGTTATTATATGACTCACTTACAGCAAACCTACCATTGTATCTTTCTTTAAATAAGATTTGGTATTGAGGAAAAAACAACGAAAGCAGGCATCTCCCTTGCTTGTGTGAAAATACCTATAATTCTCCCATGAACTCTCTTACTAAAAAAATAACCAACAACCAGTATTTTGCAGATATTGTCCAAAACACCACAGCATTGCAATAAAAGCATTGTCTAGGATTGCTACTGCAGAATATCTAAAAGGTGAGGTTAGTAGGAATCTGTGGAAAACAGAAGAGAAATCAATAGAAATATTTAGTGTTCTGGTTAGCATTTAGGGAATTAACATGGGCCATTTGTTTCTGTTAGTCTTATATACCAGTCACTTAACTTCATGTTTTTTTTTGTAATGATTATGTATAGATTTAAAACTATAAAGCAGGCCAAACTAATCCCCGCTGTAATTCCATTGCAGTCATGGAAATGAATCAAGGATAAACATCTCCCACTAGCCTTAAGCATGAAGCTGTCTGTGCTGTAATCATCTGTTTTCTTCTTGTTCGCTTGCTAGGCCATTTATTAAATTGAAAGAGAATGGAAGATCAAATATCTCACGCTCTTCATCAAGTACCAGCAGCTTCGGCAGCACGGCAGGGGAGAGCGAAACCTTGGAAGAATACGACAGCGTGGTAGGCACTGAAATACCATCACACTTGTATACAGTAGGGCCTGCTTCTGATCCTGCTTATGCTTGTCTAAGTCCATTGACTCCAATTGAGTTACACCTGATTTACACTGGTCTACGTTCAGAATTAGACCCATAATAGCTATACATAGTTGTACATTTATCTAAACAGCCTCATGTCATGGATCTTACTGCAGGGCTTTTATTTATCTTTAGCCATCACTGTTTTTAATGAGTTTCCATCCTCTCAATTAACTAAAAATTCTATAGCAGTTCTCACCCTAACTTCAGGATAGAGTCCACTGGTCGCCAGTGCAGTAAAATGATGAGGCACAACTAAGGGTATGTCTACACTGCAGTCATGGGGTGTGACTGCGGCTAGTGTAGACACACCTGGGTAGACTGAGTTTAGCTCGTTTGGGTACTAGGATAGTGAACCCCGGCAGCATGCACTTCAACTGATTGCAGGGTGCAGCTAGACTAGACATCTTGCTGGTAATGACATTGACAGTGGAAATCTAATCAAGCTGTAGCTCTTCTCCCTCCCTTCGTATTTACATTGTACTCATTACCCCGGTAGCTAAGTGCCTAGAAGTATCATTCCCTTCATGTTACTGAGGCACAGGGGAGGGAAGTGATTTTTCAGATGTCTCATGGTGAACCTGTGGCAGGGCCAAGAATATAATGATCCGAGTCGCCTGACTCAGATCATTCCTGCATGTTCCCAGTCCTAGGGGCCTTGCTGCCATGAGGAGGCAGTATCTGTGGCTGCGTGGTGGTAATAGTCTGTGTTCTGTCATGTGACTCAGCTGTTCCTTTATGTTTTCAAAGGAGCTTACAAGATTCCATTCATTAGACCAGGGGTGGCCAACCTGTGCCTGAGAAGGAGCCAGAATTTACCAATGTACATTGTCAAAGAGCCACAGTAATACGTCAGCAGCTCCCCCCACCCGCCTCCCACCCACCGGCACCCCCGTCGATCAGCGCCTCCCGCTCCCTCCCTGCACTTCCTGATCAGCTGTTTCCTGGCGTGTGGAAGGCTCAGGGGGAGGAGCGAGGGCACTACAGGCTCAGGGGAGGGGGTTGGAAGGGGAGGAGTGGGGGCAGGGCCTGTGGCAGAGCCAGGGGTCGAGCAGTGAGCACCCCCCCCCAGCACATTGGAAAGTTGGTGCCTGTAGCTCCAGCCCCGGAGTTGGTGCCTATACAAGGAGCCGCATGATAACTTCTGAAGAGCCGCATGTGGCTCCGGAGCCACAGGTTGGCCACCCCTGCATTAGACTGATTAAAAACAAAACAAATCCTACAGCCCTTCCTGACACTGAGGTTAATGGGACTGCTCAAGGGAATTCAGGCTGCAGGATTGGGCCAGAATTTGATCTCACTTGCGTTGGTTTGGCCTCTCCCCACTGACTTCACACTTGATATACATACACAAGAGGGGAACTGAATCTAGGGTGTGCAAAAGTCCTGATTGCAGCCTGTGGGGACATTGCTGTGCAAGTCTAAGCCCCAGCAGGCTTTGCTCCATCAATACCACCTTTCCCAAGAACCTTGCTCTTCCCACCTGGGCTCTCGGACTGGAGCCTCTGCTGAGCACAGATGCAGTGCGGTAGAAATAGAACACCACTGATGAAAGTTCTCCATAAAAAGGTCTTTGCTCAATCTCTGCCTACAGGGCAGCCAGCCATCCACAGCCTCGCCTTTCAAACAGGACGTGTTTTTCTACGGCTCTTCTCCCAGCAATGAGAATTCGAGCATGGCAGCTGCTGCTACACCGGTGATCATGAGCAGGAGTCCCACAGGTGTGTAGGATGGGGTGGCAGTGCGTGAACGGGACAGACACTTGTATCTGTTGGGCAAATGTACAAATATCTCTAGGAAGGTCAATTCACTAAGCACCTCCCATGGAACGAAACCCAAGTATCTGGCTCCACTTTAATCTTCTTCTAATAAAGTTCCTATGCTGCCTTTTCACCATAGTGCCTGAACACCAGTAGTGCATTAAGCAACATGACTACAATCCATCAGGTGGTGTTTATTCTCTGATCCTCTCCCCAGAGGGAGAAGTGTGTGCAGTGGAGGATGTTTCGGTAGGGTTTGTTTGGGGGTTTCTTTGGTCTCTGGATAAAAATTGTCCCACAGGAGATGGCAAACAGGTTGCCATTGGACCCCACAGAAACACCACAATCCATTCAGCACTGGCATGGAGGAACAGACTGGCACGGGCCTGTCCATTCTTTTGAAACCCAGCAAAAGCCGCCACTGGTCTCCCCAGCATCTGTTGCCTTTTGTTTTCCAAGGCCCTGGCAGCACTGGGAAATTATCTTTCTTCTGTGAAGAAAAATCTGCCCTAGTCGGAGCTCTGCGATAGCGCTGCTGGCAGTGCATTGAAACATAACCCACAAAACAATGAGCCAAATTACTTCAGCCGCTTTCCCCCCAGCCAGCCATTAATCTGCAGTGAATATTTTATCGCCAGTCACTGTTACTGAGAGCCCTATTCTTCAACGCCTGCTCATACGAAAATCCAGCTGAAATCAATGGGCCAATTCACATGAATAAGTACTACTTGATGTGTGAGGGTTGCAGAATTGGACCCTTACTTAGGGCTTGAATTGGCATCCCCTATTCACATTAGACAATAGTCCCATTGAAGTCAATAAATGGAGACAGCTGGCTTGACTCTCTCAGCATGACTAAGGATTACAGAATGGGGCCCAAGAGGCCCAAACCAAAATCTATTGAAGTCAATAGGCACCTTTTTATGGTTGTCTTTTCAGGCCCTCCCAGTTCAGCAGATGCACTTTACCAAGTGCTTTACTGTAAGCACATAAGTAATCCTATACATATTCAGTAAAGAATTTAGACTTGTGCTCAATCCCATTGGCTCCAATGGGCTTTGAATCAGTCCCTTAAAAATTAGTTAGATAGAATGACTCATTCTGATCCATAGAAGCCTGACGGTGCTATCAACGATTATATTACACTTTCAGGATATGTCTCCACTGCAGGTGGGAGAGCACCTCCCAGCCCAGGTAGAGTCCCACTAGCGGAGATTGAGCTAGAGTGCTAAAAACAGCAGTGTGGACAAACCCATCCCTTCCCTTAGGTTTGAGAGCCCAAATTGCAATGTCCATATGGCTGTTTTTAGCGTACCAGCCCAAGCCCCGGGGTGGGAGGCTCTCTCCCACCTGAAGTGTAGGCATACCCTCGTTGGCCTGTGCAGAAGCAGCCTCGGAAAGTGAATGAAATGCTAACTTCTTCCTAAAATCTTGGCTTGAAAGGTATCTTGCAGACACGTCCTGGTCACCATGGTATCCATTTAGCAGACTTCGTATTTTTTATGTTTATATTCTGCACAGGGAATCTATTTCTAACTAAAGCGTATCGGTGGCTGTTTGTTGTTGGTTTGTTTCCTTCAATGGACTGGCAACTAGAGTAGTCTTGGAAACCTACATATGAGATCACTGGCTCCATGGAAAATGCTGTGATTCAGAACATAACCAGTAACTAAGAAGTTTCCTTTCGGCATGATTCTGTCAGGCTTGTGTTGAGCTGAAGCTCACTCTGCCACTAGTTCCATTCATTTCAATAGAACCGCTAGCAAAAATAAGGCACTACTCACTATAAGGGCGACAGAATGGGAACCTTTGTTAGTTCATTAAAATAATGACACTAATACCATTCTGTTCTGGAAGGTTTTGTGTGTGCAGGCAAGGAGTTCGGGACTTCAGCGTCATATTCTCCTCACACATAGATCTACCACTGTTTTAAATTTCATTCCCCATAAAGAGTGTGGGAGGAAATGATACAAGTGCAAAATGCATAATGGGAAGTTATGAGTTAAGAGTATTAGCTCTTGGCTAAACAGCCATCTCAGTTTAACAGTTCACAAATTAGTAACTGGGAACAGGGAACAGCTGTAAAAGAAGGATGAAGTGGAAAATCTGAGGGAAACTTTAGCTCTACCCACGTGCCCATCACATGCCCAGTTACTTTTGTCAACATTAAAACAGCCATTCTCTGTGTTCAAAATTTGTATTTCATATTTGTCCCCTTAGCAAACTGAAACCCGTGCCATGCATTTCCTAGATCGGTCATTTATTAGTCTTTTCAGTGACATTTCTCAGAAATATTATGGGATATAATTAAGCATCAATTTACTCCATTCAAGATGATTACTTAATGTGGAAGTTTTGCACAACCTTTAGAAAAAATGAAATAATTGATAAAATCAATAGGAATCCATTCAACTGACTGGCTGGTTGGGCTGGTCTAGGTGCAGTCAAGATTATAGCTTAAACAAATATTGGTTTATTGATTTTTTTTGTTGTTTGTTTCCTGACAGATATAAAGAGCAGAAACTCTCCGAGGTCCAATCTAAAATTTCGCTTTGATAAGCTTAGCCATGCCAGTTCCAGCACGGTATGTATCTGTTATTGTAACCAGCATGGTCTCACACACTGAACGTGTTACAGCTCCAACTGTCCACTATGTCCGAGCTGTGCTTGGATAGAGAATAGCAGCCACTGGGAGCCAATTGCAGCGCCCTGATCCTCAGCAGCAGGCAAGTGGGGGGTCCTACTCTAACTTCTGTAAACAACTTTATGCCTGTGGAGAATCAGGTACAGCAGTTCAATGCCCTGGGATACCTTGACACGCTCCTTCATGCCAGGTGTAGGAGGGACAGCTAGTGCGGGAGGCAGTGGAGCATTCCCATAGCACAATGTGACTCTAGCAGACCAGAGAATGCAGCCCTATGTCTAAGGATATCACACAGCAGCACACAGAGCGGGAAGACCATGCGACCACCACCACCAAACCTACAGAGGGGGCAACTCGCTGGTTGCTCCAGAACAGGGGAGAAGTTCCAGTCTGAGGCCGAGGTTCTGTGTGTAAGCCCCATAACAAAAGATACGGGGTCTCATGTACACACACATCTCCCCTGCCCCCCCCCACTAAATTACATGTGCTCCTAGCACATGTTAACAGTCTCTTACAATGGGTTCCCAGAGGCAGCATCATACATGCCAGTGTTAATTGACACACACCAGCCCGGGAAATGCCGACGACAGTCACCAAAGCACGGCATTCCCAAATAGACTTCTTGGATTCTTCTGCGGTCAGGTGGCTCAGTTGTGCAAAATGGTTGCTCTTATGGAAAGGGGAGGGCAGAAAAAGGGATTGGGAGAAGCAGAGGGTCTGTTGATGGCCAGTCCCTGGGCGACATCCGCTGGGGTACCTGTTAAAGCTGGTCCAAATGCTTCAAAATTGTGATGATGAAGTTGTCGTTGTAAAAATTTCATCAGCATTTTTGCTGTTATTTTTTTCACCCATTCTGATACTAGCGATTGTGAATCTCATTTCTGACCTTCCTACAGGCCTGTTCTGGAGGCCCGTTGGGGACAATTGTAGCTCAAGTTAAGAAATACAGGAGGTGCAGGGTAAAAAGCTTTTTACACACAGTTGTCCCTTTATTTGTATGAAAAAAAAATCTGTGTTCTGCTTTTTTTTTCTTTTATATAGAGTCACTAGCAGGCAACAGACAACATGAACTTGTAAAAGGTAAGTGCTTTGTAATATGCTCTACGGTGATTGGTCCATTCCCCTGCCAATGCAACTATAGCACATTTCTTTGGGTTCTATCTAGCATAGATTTAAGAGTCCCAGTGGGATTGCCATCATTCTCTTTTGGAGCGATTGTTCGGCAGGCTAATAGATCTCACTGGGGCAAGGTCCACAGTTTTAGCTGTTGCATTGTTTTTTTAAAGGAGTGGTTAGAATTTTTACAGTGAGAATAGGATACATTTTGTTCATGCTCATAACTGGAAAAAAACAGGCTGAATAAGTTGCTCAAACATCCCCCCCTGCCAAAAAAAAAAAAAAAATCCAAAAAACATTTGGGCAGCGCTCAGGCATGGAACGATTCAGCTCATCAGGTATGTTTTACAAGCATTTAAAACATGGAATTGTAATGGGAACTGTTTTGCAACCCTTAGCAGTTTTTCAACTAATTGCTGTAATAACCTGGGGGCCGGGGGTCTCAGTCTAGTTCTAAATAGACATGTGTCCGCAGCAGAATATGCCTCCATCAGAACTGGCAACTCTGTTTCATCAGAGAAGTGCAGAGGTTTGAGTCTGGATATTCGTCTGGCTTACAGGTGGCCCTCTCCACATCAAGGTTGAAATATACTGATGAGCCACACAGGGAAGCTTGCAAGGCCCATGTTTTTATTGCAGGTCTTGCGACAGTTGTGGCTTTTCTTAAGGTCCCAGCTCTTGGAGTCCTGTTATTTCACAAAAACCTCAGCTTCCATTCAATTAAAAAGTTTCTCGCCCTCACAGTTGTGGTGAACAGCCTCAAACCCCAGCAGTATCCCAAAATGTATAATTTTTTTTAAATTGGGCAATTTTTAAGCCAAGCTCCTGCTTTGTGTGTGCTGACTCATGAGTTTTCAATACTTAGGGTTAGCAGTGCTGCAAGTTCTAACTCTTCTGTGGCTTCAGAGGGAGATGGAGTGGCTCAACACCTGTGAAAAACCTGGCCTTCCACGTTAAGAGCAATCACTACCTTCAGCAAGTAATATGGGCCTGAGCCAAAGCCTACTGCCCTCCACTGAAAGATTCCAACTGGCTTTGGATCAGACCATACCTTTACTTGGAGGTGAAAGTTTTTACAGCCGCATAGTGCTTTGCAGAACTCTGAAAGTGGCACGTCTTATTCATACTGTCACTGACCCTTTCTTGAGAATTTTCTCCTTTAGCAATCTCTGAAGTTTTCCTTCTTTTTGCCTTTTTTTGCAGTTTATTTCTGTTATAACAAAGGGAAAAATTCTTCTCTTCCAACATCAAATGGGAAACCGTATTAGCTACACTAACAGCAACTGCCACGCTGCATTGTGAGATCTTCACCTATTCAGCTGTACCTTTAAGTAAGTCAAGAAGAAACTGCCCTCTTGCAGTAATTTCTGTAATTCTAACAAGAACCCATCTTTTCAGAATGGTAAGCAAGTTACTCGACTCCCATTTTGTCTGACAAAACCCATTCTTGCACTGCAGCAGGAGATGCATTTTCTACCATGTACTTGAAGCAACTTCACCCTCTCGCTTGGTACTCTGAAATGTGTTAACCTCGTGTGCGCCTTGTATGTACTGTAGCTATTTGTCCTAAGATGAGTGTTGTTCATCTTGTATATCTTTCACTGGAAAAAGACAATTCAATAACACATCCTGTTTCCCATAGGCTTTTTCATATTGCAACTCTGTGTCTATCACGTTGAGCTAGCATAGGATTTTCCTTGTCCAGAAAGTAGCAGAGGGACTGTGGTCGAGTGGATGTGGCCCCATGCATGAACTTGAGCAGTAACTTCTGTGGGCCTCTGTTCCCTTCCTCCTTGGTAGGGTAGGAACTGACTCATATGATGGGTTTGTTCAGTGCCAAGCACAATAGGACCTCCAGGCACTCCCACACTAGAAATAATACTAATGGAGGCTCTGCTATTTTACAGTAGAGAATTTGGCCCTCACTCTTTAGGAGGACATATGGTCTGGAGAATAGCCACTTAGCTTGTAATTTGCTTGCTGGGGATAGATTCCAGCCGTTAAGAAGCAGACTTCTGTTGTTTGTTTGTGTAAACTCGCTTGGCAGGACTGTGTAACCCACCTCCTCAGAGGAAGTTCATCCCCTTTGCTGTGTAATGGATTAGACACATGCTGTGGGGAGCGGCTGTGCAAAGTCAAAATAGGGCTGGGAAGAAGGGAACACCCTCCCCCCACCCGTGAATAGAGAGAGATGAATAAGCAAACTCCACCCTCTCATAACCACAAAACAACGCTCCAGCTACTGTTCTACATCACCCTGGGGTAAGGCTGATTTCTGCAAACAGGGCTTGTACGTGAGCAAGGTCCTCCTTTGCATGGGCAGCAGCGGTGTGGTTCGTATTTTTATGGGTGCCATGATAGTATACAAGAGCCTGCAGAATGACCAACACCACGCTCTTGGGAGACATCACCAAAGATTCTGCACGTCACCCAATTAGTTAAGGAAGTTTGCCATTAGAAAAGGGACAAAAAAAATTGGAGAACAGTTTTTTAAGCTGTATAAAGATGCAACAGATTTTCAGTACTGTGAGAAAAGCGTCAGGCCCCCTATTTTTCCTTCCATTTTATGCTTCATGGAAAGCGATTTCACTTCCCTCACATAGCGTCAGTAGTACACGGCCTTGTTAAAGAACAGCACTTAGGTCACCTGCCACCTTTCAAGACTCAATTGCCATAGAGAAACTGCCAGGACCTGAGGGTTCCCATAGAACCAAATGTAGACGTTTAATCAAACACCAGGGGTCTAAATGTCCTGTACCTTTTACTCTAGTGCAATGTAAGTGTAAAATGGCATTATGTTGGTTGGCTACTTTGCACTGTGTGACTACTGCAAGGCAAGGGAGAGTCAGTCAGTCAGAGCCCAGCTGTTTAATTAAACATCTCCAATAGTACTACAGGAACCCATTACATTAAAGAAGAGGCGCTTTCATTTTATCAGCAGCTGAATTGCAGCGAGAGGGGAAGTGCTTTATATAATTTAAACACCTTTTCCCCTGCCCCAGATGGAGTGACTTCAGCTACTACTGGGGAGTGGGATTCTGACTACTAAGTAGATCTCAAAAGCACCCACTGAATTTTGTGGGCCAGATCTTCAGCTGGGGTCAGCAGGTGATGCTCCAGCCTTACACCATGTGAGAATTGGACCCCACATATCAAATTTGAGTTTCATGTGAATGACTTTTCAGTACCTGACTTGTTCCTCCAAAAATGGGGGAAAAGACCGTGTAATTTCTATCGCAAAGAGTTGCTTAAAGCTTCTTTTATGGGAAAATAATTTACTATCATTTCATATGTTGTATGGAAATACTGGTGGAGCTAAATGCACTTTGTGGTCCTTTTCCCCTCCCGTGCATGACAGCTCGTACGTCATTTCTGGTGGTGGGTACAAGTTACTACTTTGATTTTGATATCAGGAACTCTAAATACCTCTATCGATTTCCAATGTAGCCAGCTTCCTTTTTTTTGTTCTTATGGAGGCCCCATCGAAAGGGAGTCTTTCCACTAGAGGGCTCAGGGATGAGGCCCATGCCGTTAGCATGCTAAAAAGAATGTTGTCATTTTGCACAGTGCGAAAAGCATTTTTTTCCTTAAATTAATCCAGCTGATTCACTAACACTGCCTCATTAAATGAGGGGCTTCACTTGCGTGTGGAAAGAAAATGTTCATACTTTGGTGCCAGAGGTTAGGGCATCCAGTTTTACATTTGAGGCTCTGAAGTGTCCCAAATGGGTCTCTGGTGTCTAATTTGTGGCTATAAGTGCAGAATTAGGAACCCCGCCAATCACAATCATAATGTGACAGAGGAAAGTGTAAAATACATGTGGGCATAACAAATTGAGGAGCCGTATTTTCAAGCAGCCCACAGCAGGGGGAGTGCTGCCCACAGGCAAATCCGTCTCAGCTGGTACACTTCAGTGTAGTTCCTTTGGGCTGGTCCACACTAACCCCCCAGTTCGAACTAAGATACGCAACTTCAGCTACGTGAATAACGTAGCTGAAGTCGAAGTTCCTTAGTTCGAACTACAAGGTACTTACCGCGGGTCCACACGCGGCAGGCAGGCTTCCCCGTCGACTCCTCTCGCAGAGCAGGAGTACTGGCATCGACGGCGAGCACTTCCGGGATCGATTTATCGTGTCTAGACAAGACGTGATAAATCGATCCCAGAAGATCGATTGCTTACCGCCGAACCCGGAGGCAAGTATAGACGTACCCTCTGACATGAATCAAACTGTACTGGCTCTACACCCTTGAAGGATCTAACACCATGCTGGCAAAGTGCTATGGTAACTTGGACACAAGCTTTGGAAAGAGTCTGAAATTTTGGTTGAGGCAAACACACAGTATGTAGAACCAAATGTTCATTTTCCATCAGCAGCACACTGCATATTGGTTTAATAAAACAGATACTTACAGGTGCTGCCGGTGCCTACACGTAGTTTGCCAATTTAAAATAAAACTAATTGCCATATAAGAGCTTGTAACTATAACAGCAGAGGAAGTAAAGGACAAGAGACAAATTTTATTGATTATTTTCTCTGAGAACAGAGAGTGTGTTTTCCTTTAAAAGTACAGCTCTCTGCAGAATGAAATACTAGTAACAACTAACCAAAATTCAGAATGTTTTCTCCTTTAATTTCTCTGAACAGAATTTAAATATTAAAAATGAGTATTTTGTTTAAATAAGGAAAAAGCACTGTCTCTTAAGTCCTGTTTTGCAGCAGTATGTATAGATAGGTACAGATGTCTCAGGTTCAAAACATTTAAAAACGTCAGAGCTCGTGTGTGTACATATTTTCTCCACTCTTTTTTGTTTGATATTGTTTGATCAATTTCCTTAAGCCATATACCAAAATGTCACCTGGTAGGTTTTTTTTTGGTATTTCAACGGGCTGCTTTGATTCTACACAAGTCATCTTTGGCTTCAGTGTTGATCTCTGTAAAGATCTTTAAGCACAAGACAGGATGTCTTGGGGTATTTCATTAGAGACTGTGACTTTCTGTAAAAGTTGTTTGAATGCGATTCAAAGCCATGCAGATGGGAAAGTCTGAAAATAAGTGAGAGAAATACAGTGAAGTGGACTCATCTTCACCATACCAATCCCACAGAATTTCAGAGGAGATGGAGAATTAAGGTCTTCAGGTTAAGTTTTCAAAAGTACCCAAACATGTCAGGAGTTTAAGCTTGATGAGTCTTAGATACTTTTTACCCCCTCACCACTTGTGATCATTAAAGATCCTGTGGAGCATTTTACAAGAGTAGAGGTTTTAATGCTGCTGTCCTGGCCACATTCCAGTACAATTACTTTCTGTCTACTTACGTTCCTTTGAAGTTTTAAGTGGGAATGGTATTCTTCTTCACTTCTGTCCGAAACTGCTGTGCTACACCTCAGAGGCATCTACACTGCAGTATATATTGCAAAGTGTTTTGGGAGGACAAGAACTACATAAGACATTAGAGGAAACCCTCAGTAGTTCTAGTTAATACACTAAATTCTGAGACCGTGCCATTTTTCAGTTGGAGTGAAAAATGGGACTCAGAAAGCAGAAACAAGATATTTTTGTCATTCTTCACATGGTCAACAAAAAATAGGGATCGCTATGGGACATAAACTCCAAGTGCAGATAGGAGGACAGTGTTCTGGTGTCTGTCTTACCAACTTGCACTGATTTTACTGTATTAACATGGGTACTGTGGAAGTGCAAACACTGTATATAAGACATTCAGGGCCAGATCCTCAGCTAGTGTACATCAGCACAGCTCCACTGACTTCAATGAAGGCCTGCTCTGTAAGTTGGGAATCATTTTATTTTATGCTTTAACTTTTCCACCACTTATTTGAGCACTAAGGGGAAGGAGTTCTCTTCTCTAATCTGCAGCACATACTGCACTCATTACCTGCCCAGAACTTCCACAGAGGGCCCTGGAGACTCTAGACAGAGAAGAAAAGGGGGGGATTTTCAAAAGCTCCTAAGGGAGTTAGCAGCACGAGTCAAATTGAAAGTCTGTGGGGCTTGTGCTCCTAAGTTGTTGAGCCTCTGAAACCCCCCACCCCAAATATGTAATCTGCAATCAATCCCACATTGCAGACAGGAAATCTCAAGTGCTGAATGGAATGGAGAATTCAGTCCTGCCTCTCAATATTCTGCTGTTTCAATAGCAGAAAGGGGATTGGTTTGCAACTGTGTACACACACTTACATGTACGTAAGTGCTTTCCTGCACATGTCTCACAGAAAGCATGGACCGTCAAGTGCTTTGGTGAACAGGGATGTACTTAAGCACATATTTAACTACTTTAAGAACTAGGGCTTTGGTTACTGTCGAGAGGAAGGGCCAAACAGCTAGCTGGTGTAAATGGACACATTAATGCCAGCTAAGGATCTGTGCCAAAGATTTTTCAGCTGATTGTGAGAGGTACTTAGCACATACAAGTGCCATTGAAGTCAATGGACGTTGTGGGGGCTCAGCACCTCTGCAGATCAGACCCTTTGATTCATGTGGCTTAAGTTCAAAATTCGGTTTCATTTTTAAATAGTTAACGGTTTCTTTTTTTCTCTCCAAATCTTAACGCATGCTTTCAATTTTTTTTGGTCGTGAATGTAGTACTGTATAAAATCCTGCAAAGGGTTTTCTAAACAATAGAATGTGATGAGAGGTAACAGTGTGGGGAAAAAAAATTCTTAATGAAATGTATCTGACATAAAAATTATTTTTTTGTAGAGAGGTGATGCTTTGTAGAGTTTCTGGTTACCTATGTTTGTGTAAATAATGTACATTTAATTTATTGCTATGGTAGCATATTGTATTTGTTATGTATAAAAACTAATTCTAAAGGTTCAAAAATGTATATTTTGTTGCTTAATCGTGTCTTTGCAAAGTTCACAATAAAGAACATATTTTGTGCCTGTAAGCGTACCAGGATTTCTGTGCACTGATAAAGCATTTGGCTTCAACTGCACCCTGCAGGGTTGCTTGTGATCTCCCTGATGTGGTTTTATGCCGGTTTACTTCCACGAACTACCGTGGAGTTACTCCTGCTTTACAGCAGTGTATGAGATCAGAATCAGGCCCTAAGGGAAAGCAAATGTAAATGCATGGCTAATCCATATAAGTCACAAATTGGCATACATCCACTGAGTGCAATGGCCAATTTCCATCACCTGAAGCTCTTAAAATATACTCCATGCTTAGTAACTACTGAGTTAAGACACTTTTTCAAAATGGAAAATTGATCCAACACACCATGGGCCAAATTTCGTTCATTTATACTGGTGTAACTTCAGTAGAGTTACTCCTGATTTATTTAGTGTAACTGAGAACAGAATTTGGGACCAATTCAGTAAACCATTTAATCGAGTATTTAAGTTCCATTAAATTCAATGGGATGTAAGCATGTGCGTAAAGCTAAATTCAGACTGAAGTGGGTACTTATATATTAAACATAAGCTATCTTCAGTGTCAGATTTTAAATGGCCATCAATTCCAGCTGCTAAACAATATGAACGGCCAGTGCCTTAATTCAATGTTAAAACAATGAATGAGTGCCCTTGCTTGTCATGAGCTGAGCTGACCTCAAATAGATTTTCCAAACCAGCAGTCTCAAATTGGGTGTTTCTCTCTTTTTAACATTATGAATTATTTACTTTAAAACCCCCCACAAAAGTCATTACTAATACATAGTGCCATGTCCAGGCATCATGTCTCTTTACAATATTAAGCTCCATAAAACTTTGCACGAGAAGGGAAGACTTTTTGCCCCTTAGGTTAAGAGCACCTGCTGGATCAAGCTTTTGAATATCAGTGCCCTGTAGATTGCCTATGGGTTTGTTTTCAGGCAGAAGCTGTACCTCTTTAACAATACTGGTATCAAAGTGGTACCTGCCCCTCATGGGGTCAGTTATATTGGTAGAAAGGTGCTTTGTACAATATGGGTAGGCCTCAGTCAACATGACAATCAGACCCTCAGGTGGTAGAAATCACTGAAGTTCATTTGACTTTGCTAGAGCTGTACCAATTGAGAGTCTGGCTCTCATGTTCTCTTTTTCCCCCCAAGGGGGAATTTATTTCACTAGAGTACTTTTTAGAAGCAGAGCCCCCCTCCCTTCAAGGCTTATCATAAGTAAGTTAGGGAGATACCTTGAAATAACATCGGTCCCTACTACTAATCAAACCACATGGAAGAAGGGAAAAGCAGCAGCTGTTCAATTAGTCTAACACATGCACATTACAATAACCACCTGGCGTAGCTTACCTGGATCCCACCAGCCTTTGAGCCCTTACAAACGTTCTCCCTGTGCTAGGTATGAAATTGGATTTTCGCTGAAACTCATAAGGCCTCATTTAAATCCCTGTAGTTTGGAAATTCAGTTGCGATGTCCCAGGGTCCTTCCCTCCTGGAGCTCTCAGGAACATGTCTGGCGGCCACAGGACCAGTCAAGTGTTCCTACATCTTCAGTGAACAAATCACAAAAGAAGATTAGCCCGTGTTGCTCAAGCTTCAGGCATTTTTTTTTTTTTAAAGGTATTACTCCGCTGTCCCTGCAACTTTATATCTTCAACACTGTAACAAGAGGGAAACAAAACCAGGAGGTAGAATAAATCTTCCTTGATTTATACCTCACAGATAATACGGTGGTAAGTGTCATGGGGAATATTACACCACAGTCTCTTCTATCCTTTGGGATGCAGTAGGCAGAGCCCAAAGCACCATAAAGCTGGGATTTTTGAAGGAGCCAAAGGGAGATAGACACCAAACTCCCTTCTTCTCCCTCAGCTTGAAATGAGGAGGGTTAATTGTTGCTTTGCTCCAGAATCTACAGCAGGGGGCGCAATGACAATGTGCACTGGCCCAGGTGGGGGCTGTGTGCCCCAGGCAGGAGATTCTGGGGTGCACTGTTGCTGTGCCACCCGTAAAGAAGATGTGTTTCCCAACTGCAGCCTCCAGTTCAGTGGGTCAGCATGAAGGGTGTTCTCCTTCAGAGCAAGGATGGTGACTAGGAAAAGCCTGGGGGAGGCTCTTTCACCTCCTTCTCCCACCCTGCCAGCTCCCAGGAGCCAGCACAAACTGGTTTTGATAAGGGCACGGTGTAAACAGAATTTCAAACCTCATCTGGCCTACAGTGGGGGTGCAATCCTGTCCTCATTTAAATCAATGGGAGTCAGGATTTCACTCTGGAATTTCAGCCACTGGGTCTGACAAGTCCCAGTGTGACTCGTACTGGAGTAAATGCAGCTACACCTGTGGCTAAAATCCAAGTCTATAGACAGCCTTTCCATGCAACTCTATGGAGCGGAGGGTGCAGACCAACCTAAGCCAAAACTAAAAACAACATTCACACGAACCCTTGTCAAACACAACTGCAGGCCTCTGTTATAGAGCCAGCCATGGAAAAACCAGGGTGGGAATATTGAGACCTGAGGAGTAACAAATCCACGGAGCCTACGCCAGCAGCCAGAGATTAAGAATTGAGTCAAACAAATCAGAATTTATTTGAGTTTCTCTTATGTGGCTTTATTGCTGTTAAATGTTTAATGACCCCTTTGCATTTAAGAAAGCCAGCAAGCAGATTGATTTATTCAGATTTGCACAAATACTAAAAAGGGGCCACACCGTACATTCTAGACACCATGACTTCAAGCTATTCCAAGTACAGCCAAACAAGTCAATGTAAATGACCGCCAGGGACCCAGGCAAGTTTAAAATTCAAATACCTTTTCTCTCCAACCATTTCCCACCCTTATAACCATCCTGCCTGCATGCAACCACCCTTTTCAAATACCTGGGGACTAAAAGGTAAGATTTGCAATGTGTCCTGAAGTTGATCAGACGGTCTATTTCCGATGGGGGTGGGGAGCTAATTCTAAAGCTGTGGGGTCCTCACAGAGAATTGCTCAGCCAATAGCCCCCTATGACTCCAGCCCGTCTGCTCATCTCAACTGCATGGCTCAAGGACAGAGTCTCAGGTAGGTAGGTCCTTAAGCCATTTAGGGCTTTATAGGTCAAAATCAATACCTTAAATGTCACCCGGAAACCCAACACACAGCCCCTAGAGATGGCAGGGCACTGGTAGAATATTCTCTACTTACCAAACAAGCTGCTACATCCTGGCACCAGCTTCAATTTCTGGATTGTTTTCAGGTGTAGAACTTAAGTCTTGCATATGCACATAAATATTAAAGAAGATGGCCAGTGCCCAAAATGTAAATTACATAGTAAATTAACTCCTCAAAAAGAAGCACTGGTGTAAAAACTATGCCTGAGCAATGGCATGGACAGCCTGATGCAACCCCATTTTGCACACGTTTTTTTCACACAAACTGTGTCCCCAAGGCAGATGTGACTGATACTAACCAGTGAGCGGGCAATGGATGGCACAAGTTAGAGTAACAATGGTGTGAAGGTATTATCTGCATGTTAAATAAATTAAAGCATTTCTATAGCTACAAGAGAAAAATGAATAGGACTACGCAGAGCACAGACGCGTTTGAAGATATGTGGAAGGATAAAGCAGAGAGATACAGGAAGGTTGTTTGAGAGGGCAAGTACTGCAGGGAAGGTGCTCAAACCAGCAAGTGTGGAGGCAAGAGAGAGGGAACAGAGTAGAACTCTTGCTGTTCATTTACTAGGATAAGTTACCTGGGCACCCATGTGGCTTTAAAAAAAAAACCCACCACCACCCATAAACCCCCAGACATAACAATGCTCACATGCAAATACAGGCCATCTGATTGATGACTGAGAAATACTGGTGAAAACTGTTGGAGGTCATAAAGCCAGATTCTCCACCGCCCGGCACCTTGTGTAGTTTTTTTTACCCCAAAGGCCTGGTCTATATAGATCCACACCCCCATCCATAGCTAAGTCGACAGGAGAATGCTTCCATCAATCTCATTACCATCGCTTGGGGAGGTGGCGTTCTTACAGCGACGAGAAAAAAAATCTTTTCATATCCTACAGCTAGCCATGCTACTATCACTCCCATAGTGTAAATTTGGCCAAAATCAGTGCAACATGCTAGTCAGTCAGACTGGGAATATTTCATACCCAATCTGCACTTGTGTAAATGATTATACAAGGGGCAGGGCAACAAGGAATCTGGCCCATAATTTTAAAGGATCTTATCTATGGCCTTGTCCGCATACAAGTTGTATATCATTAACTATACCAGCATACAGTATTACAATCCCCCCTAGTATGGATGAAGTTATTTTAGGGCATCTTATTTCCATGTGGTAAGGGGAATAGGTGTCCACCGACGGGGATGTACTGGCATAACTACTACCAGCTGCATCAGTTAAACAAAAATAATTCATCTCACTAACCAACATTCATAGCAGTACAAAAAAATCACGGTGTGCAGATGAGGCTCAACTTTTCATTCCTTCGCAACTTGTGTGTAACACCACCAAATCAGAATTCTCCACTCCCACCAGCCGTAGCTTTTATAAGTGTACAAGGCAACACAGAATCAGACCAGTGTTCGGAGAAACACCATCTAGAGCTACTAGGGCAAATCCAGCGCAGGATGAAGTTAGAGGCACATGTTCTTTCTTTCCACTCTCTGTGCTGTGATTTATTTCTCAGCTGGGGAGCAGCACGTCCTAAAAGCAAGGGACAGAAAAGGGTATTTTATATTGATTTCTTTAAAAGGATTAAACAGAAAGTCTGGCCTGCTTGGAGCATCATTCTTTATACAAAGCACACTATTTTTCTGTACTTCCTCTCCACTAGACTGAATGTGTAGATGATATTAAAAATGGTAAATATTTTCTGGAAAGAACCTAGAACAAAATGAACATACTTTTGTTTTGTTCAAAATTTTTCACCAAGTTGTTTTGATTAAATGAATCAGTTTCATTTCTGTTTTTTTTTTTTAACTTCCCTTTGCTGGTAGAAAGGGGTGAGAAAAGAGGAAAAAAACCAAAGAAACAAAAAAAACCTGAGCCAAAATTTGTTTTGATGTATTTCATAAGATGAACATTTCTCACAAAAATGTGTTTCCTTTGAAAAGCTATTTTCCATCAAAACAGATCTGACAAATTATTTTGATCAACTGTAATATTAATTTAGGTTCTCCTGGCGGGTATGCACGGCAGATGAGCAACTTGCATGACACTACGTGGACTCCAGAGTCCCCGGTAAATTGTCCAACATATTTGAACAAAGGACCCAAACCCTTAGTGGTAGGTCCTGGCCTTCAGTCACAGAAGTTCTCTCTCTAGCAGTTGCTGATCAGCTGTGTAGATCCTGGAAAAAAAGGTTCAACTCACTTTCAATCACAGTCTTGAAGTTATAGGGCGACATCTTCCATTGAACTAGGACTCGGGAAATTAGAGTTTAGTCCTCAGCTCTACTTTGTGTGATCTCAAGCAAGTCATTTCACTGCATTGGGCCTCGGTTTCCTAACCTCTAAAATGGGGTTAATACTCCCTTTCTGCTGTCCTTTGTCTATTTCAGTTATAAGCATTTTCAGGCAGAGACTGTCTAAGTGTGTGTACAGTGCCTAAGACAATGGGCCCAAGATGATGGCTGAAGCCTCTAGGTGCCACCATAATAAGAGACGGGTCATAGAAAACACCAAATGAGAGCATGAGCATACTGCTCTCAAAGGGATAAGACAGAGGGATTTGAAAAGAGAAGATGACACAAGAATGCAAACCAAACGAAGGGCATAAAAACCTGTGAGTGATCTGATCCCACTCTCAGTGCTACTGAGGCACTCGGTGTTTTTTGTTTGCAGTTTCTTCACTGTTTTAAGGGCTTATGTCTGAGAGCCAAAATCCTAGCCCCATGGTAACCAGCCTCAGGAAGTATTTTTGACTTTACTCTTATGGTTTCAAGCTTTTATGTCTTATTTGGTCCCAAGTCAATATTTCCAATGAGGAGGAGAACTTAAGTCCCAATAACTTTGTGGTCACTAAATACTCAATAGAGTATTTTTTTGAAGCATAGGGCTGTTAACCTGCTGTTGTGACCCAATTCCAGCTTGGGTAATTACAATCTGTCCCACTAAAATTTCCCCTGTAGTTTCAGCTGGAGACAGAATTCTTTTTTACTTCCAACCCTACAATTTGGCAGTCTCTTTTTTTGTGCACTCCTTAAAGAGTGGCTGCTTTCAATTTCAGGAGAGTCTCATAAGCAAAGTTTGTAAAGGACTATGCAGTAACACTACTTTAAATACTTTACATTTTATAACAACATGCACTGTATGTTCCCAGGGTCGTAAAATGCCTGGGGCAATGAAATATTCAAACAGCTTTGTTTTTCATAACTAAATCAAATGCAAATTAAAGAAGAGGTAGATCAGGCAAGATGTATCGTCACTCAGGAGGTTAGCTGTTAATTTGCTTTCTGCATAAAAAAAAGGAAGGGAGCATTACAGGTAAAGATGCCCTGGTTAAGATTTTCAAGGCAATCTAGGGGATTTAGACTTTTTTAAAGGAGCCTAAGGGAGTTAGATGCCCAATTGACAGTGTAGTGATTGGGTTTGTGTGACTGCACTACACCTCCTAGAGGCACCGTACTGAACTCGCAGCCTAGGGGAAGTTGGGGCTCTGATGGCTTTAAGCTACATTTGGTCCCTCCTGATTTGAGGCTGCTCCAGGAGCCGCTCAAGGCCCATCTAAGTTATAGCAGCCTGTTGCCATCTGCCTGCGGGCACTGCCCAGTGCTATGGCTACACAACTCCTCCTAGTGCTGCTCTCTGAGTTAGTCTATACTGCAAAAACAGAATATCGCTCTCCAAATACATGCAACGGGACCATTCGCTTCCGACTGCAACAAACGTACGTTGGGGAAAAAACAAAGGGTTCTTCTGTTATTTGTATTTGGGAATAAATGGAAACAACTTTAAACACACACCGTCCTTGGAATTTATACAGCCCCTTTCATCCAAGTAAATCGCTTTACAAATAGTCAGGAGTGAAGCCTCGCAACCCGTGTGAGAAGCAGATAATTATTATCTCTATTCAGCGGATGGGTCAATAAGACACAGACGGGATAACTGACTTGCCTGAGTCTATGAAGTTACTCAGTAGCAGAGCTCAGGACTCCTGACCCCCCCCTTCCCCGCCCCCTCTTTATCTCTAAATTATACGGACTCCACTAATAACACAGGGTGGGGTTTTGGCCTAACTGCGCTCCCTCCCTTTGAAGTCACGATAAAAATCCCATTGCTTCCAGTGAGAGCGGAGTTAGGCTAATGCTGGGTGCTTCTGAAAACCCCACCCACACTCTCTTAGGGTACATCTTCATAGCCAGAAGCAGCGAGCCTCTGAGCCCAGGTCAACAGACTTGGGCTCACGGGCCTTGGGCTACCGCGCTAAAAAGAGCTCCGTAGACAGTATTTTTAAGTCGTGGCTTGGGACGGAGCTTGGGCTCTGAAGCCTACCCCCCCTCCCTCGGCTTCAGAGCTTGAGCACCAGCCCGAGCCACCATATCTACGTGCGACAGTGCAAGCCCCATGTCTCTTCACCCAAGCTCGGTGCCGCGGGCGGTGCAGACGTACGCTTGCAGGTTATTGCATATTGCCAGTTGGATCCTTTGCCTCTTACCTGACTGGACTGAAAGGTCTTGTGCTCTAGTAAGGTTTTGGCTGAAATTTAAACAAAGACCAACACATTAGAGAACAGGCCAATGGAAACTGCATAAAGGGAATGTGCAGAAAACAGAACACAAACCTACCTTATTGGTGTTCATCCCTAGGGCAGAAAAGAGAGACTGGTCAGCCAGAACGTTGAACAATAGACACCACTTCACAGCCATAACCGGACAACTCTGTTACAGTTAAACGTTTGGGCTTAGAGTCTCGGATGGTGCAAATCAGCCCAGCTGCATGGACTTAAACGGAGCTATGCCAATTTACACCAGTCGGGGATCTGACCCTGTCTTTCGATAAAACAACAGTGAGGCTGCTGGTGTGCGGAGGCCACTGCCTGTCACGCTGACCCGTACTGTCTCATTGTTTCCTTCTACTTCCCCCATCTGTCTGTCTGTATCCATCTGTTGCCTCTTGTCTTATATTTAGGTTGTAAGCTCCTCGGGGCAGGGACTGTCTTGCTACAGCGTTTAGCACAGTGGGGTCCAGATCGACGACTGAGACGCCTAAGCGCTACAATAATACAAATAAATAATGGGGATGCCAACAAATTCCTGTCCACCCCAAAGTCTGGTTTTCACACACTTTTTTTTTTACCTCGGTAAAGGTAACACAACGTCACAACAAGACACCCAGCGAGAAGGACGAATAGGATGACAAGGAACCAAGTTGCTGAGGTAGATTCTGTGCATAAATAAATAAATAAATAAATAAAAGAGAACAATTTGATAATTTGACCTGCAGAGAAGAATAAACCCCCTGATGCTTCTTAGGGGACATAGATCTGATTTACAATAACGAAGCCATGTGACATCTGTGTGTGTGTTAAAAACCAGTCTATTGCAGAAGATTAAAAACAAAATAAAATAAACAGAACAAACCACAGCTGAGGCTCAAGAAACTTTGGGGGATCAAAGTAACGAGGTGGGATTTACGACCACATGGTGTTAGAGGCCTGAGGTTGAGAGGAGTTAGTTATTAACCCCCAGGACGGGCCCTGAACAAAGGTTACTATTGATATTTGATAGCTGAGCATGAGGGTGGGAGATAACACATAGGCACAAAGATTTTATGCGTGGTTGTTGTTATTGTCTACTCTCCGAACACTTAAGATTCACCAAACCACTCTCCACTCCTCACTGAAATCCCTCCAAGAGCCCCATCTCTGTTGCCCAATGGAAAGGTGTTCAAAACAACATGGAAACACAGGCACTCAGTAAGCTTTTCCGAGCAGGGACCACCTTTGTTCCTACGCTGTCTACTGCACCGGGCACACTGTTCTTTAACAAATTAATCAATCAAACATCACAGGGTCAAACTGGTCCGGAAAGGATTTCTAGTCTTCCTCCCCCAAAATGCTGATTATAAATTAAGTTTGCTGTGCATTTTTCTTTGGTTTTTGGGTCAAAAAAAGGTTTTTTTGTTGGTTTTTTTTAACAAAAATGGAAATATTGTCATGAAAATTTCTGGTTGAGTTGAAAAAGCCATTTTCTGTCAGGAGAAAATTCCTGATCAGATCTGCCATGGGGTAAGAAGTCAAGAAATCAATGCTGTCTCCTCCAATGAACACTGTACCTGTTACTTTAACCATCAGGCTTTTCTTGATTGGGTGTTTCAGGCTTTGGTGTTCCACCCGGCAGGTGTACCTACGCCCATCGTCCCTGAGGGAGGCCTTAAGCAGGAAGTAACTGGAGAAGCTGTAAGTCCCATCGCTGTTGTGCCTGTGACTACTAGAGACAACGTGAGTCACCACATGTGGGAGCATCCCCTGCTCCATTGGTTCCTGAAGCCACTGAGCCTCGGCATCATGAGGGTAAAAGTGACTGATGTCACAGACCAGCTTGTGTTCGTCTCCTTCCACCAGAGACAGGACGTCAGCGTTGAGGGTCACTGTGGGCTTTTCTGGTGAATAAAAAGTCATTACAGTGCTGCATCCAGATCCATTTAAAAATAAACAAACCCAGCTATTAAAATGGCACCATTTAGCGTCCCTCATCTCTAAAGATATCACTCATTCTAGCCCCAAAATTACTTCCCATCCACACAAATTTGGTTTCCCTCGCTTAGATTGCTGAAAACTGTTTGCACCAGAAACAGAAATCAAGAGACAGAGCTTCACTCCACCAAAGGAAGGAATCCCACAGCATTATAAAGCTTCCTACAGGAATACATTTATGTCCCCCCCTTATTTGGGGGGGGGGTGTCTCTGACCCATTGTGACCCACATTTAACTGTTGGCTGGTTGAGAAGAATGACATGGAACCATTAAAAAACCCTTAGACATGTACCAGCCACAGGCGTTACGTTTACCATAGAAAAGGGAAATGACACAAATACTAAGTGCAGCAATCATCCTTTAAAAAAGGAGCTTGCTGAATATGACCTGGCTACACGGTAGGATTTGCCAGAGGATGCTCCATTGGCTAAAATGTCAGCGGCCCTGTCTTTGTTATGGAAAGACAGACCGGGGAGAGCATGGACCCTTGCTGCTGGATCTGCCCCAACCTCTTGCTCTGGTCTTGGGCCCCTGATTCGATTCCTTGATGGAGTTAGACATAGGAGCGTTTATCCCTCAGACACAAAAGTAAAGGGCAGTGGGGAAAAAAAAGCACCAGATAGCGATCACATGGCAAGGAGACTGGACCCTGTCTGTCTGAGAGCCTCACAAATTCTCCCCCTTTGCTCAGTTCCAGCGGAGTACGTCGTAAACACTGAACAATACACAGTGATTGCTAAGTGATCACCCATCCATATCAAGGCAAGTATCCTCTTATCCTGCTAAATGAAGATAATACAAAATTTTCAGCGTTGCCCAATATATTTTAAAACAATCAATTACCTACTATTTCCAGCTGGATATTCTGTGCCCAAAGAAGTGACGACACCAATATTGAGCAAGAATAGGTCCCTCCATCTCTTACTCCCACTGTTCTTAGTAAGAGAGAAGCATTCCCCTTAGGCATCTCTGCTAGGAACATCTCAGCCCGTTTATCCTTGTGTTCCACCTGCCTGGTAAATCCATTGTAGGCAAATATCAGCTTCTTGTGTCCCCCTTTCTGCTGTAATACCCATTTGATGGTGACATCTGTGTGGTGATCGACTGAGAAAGCACAGCTGAGGAGGACATCCTTATTCAAGCCAGACTGAATTAGAGAGGGTCCTGTGCGTACCAAGAATACACCTGTAATACAGATGATAAAGCATCATTAGAGCAACCAGATTTTGGATCAATGGTGCTAAACACAGTCAGAGTGCAAACTGCCATCTAAAGACACACAAACCCGTACCACAGAATAAAGCTTATATGCGGTCAGAGCGAGAAATGGGTACAATTCAACACTCTGACACCAACTTCTTTTGTGCCCTTGGGCAAGCCATTTAACGTCTCTTTGTGCCTCAGTTTCTCCATTTTAATAATGAGTACAATTAGCCTTCAATAGTTCATAACTGTGCTACAAGTCTTATGCAGTGTTGTAGCCATGTTGGTCCCAGGATATTAGAGAACTCAAAGTTTCAAACCTCGCATTTAGCAGGGACACTGAGTTAGTTTCCAAGACCTGAAGAAGAGCTCTGTATAAGCTCGAAAGCTTGTCTCTCTCACCAACAGAAGTTGGTCCAATAAAAGATATTACCTCGCCCACCTTGTCTCTCTACAAGTCTTAGTTAACCAACACTCTTTTTCGCAATCTAGATTTTCATGATAGTAAATAACTGGGAAACATTTATAATATTCTTTAAAATCCTCAGGTGAAAGACTATCTATATAGATATAGATAGATAGACATAGATATCTATAGTCTATATAGACATAGATATCTATAGTCTATATAGACATCTATCTAGACTATAGATATCTATATCTATCTAGACTATATATCTATATCTATCTATAAATATATATATATATATATATATAGATAGATAGATAGATAGATAGATAGATATAGATCTATCACTTCAGTCAAGTTATTCCCAATTTACAATGGGAATCTGGGTTGGCCGGCCAACAAAACAAACAAACCTTTAGCCTCTTTGCTGAAGCCTATCTTTTGGACATCAGAATCCCACTCCTGCTATTATAAAAGTGAGATTAAGAGTGAAACTGAGAGCGTGTGTGTAAAAGCAACATGGTTGAGAGGCTTGAGCACGGAGTCTGAATTCTATTTTCTGTTCTGCCACTAAGCCAATCCACCTCCCTGCCTCAAACTCCCCTCTGAAAAGGGAAGATGATCCTTGACCTCACAAGGGTGCTTTGAGCATTAGCTAGTTAATGTCTCTATGGTGGTTTTGAATATGCAAAACACTATACATGTACTAAATAATATTACTGTCCATTGTTATTATTACTTGCATTTGGGTTGAGAAGCTGCCATGTTACACTTTTCTGGCAACGCAAGTTATCTTTACATCTACTTTCAAGCCCCTTTACCCTGCGACACTGGAGTCAAGTGGCCTTAGCTGTATTGGCAATCCTAAGTATTCAAAAACCAGGAGTCATACCTCCCAGAATCATGAAATTGGCTTAAAAAGTAAGATTTTTTAAAAAAAAACCACAACATTTGGTTTTCTTTTTATTTACCTTCTAGGTTTTGAGCCTTTAAGAGACACCGGGGTCAAATTTTCAACATTGTCTCCATCACGATGAAGCCTAGAAACTTACTTTTTAAAAATATATATATGTTTGACTAATTAATTTATTTTCAAAAGGACTGTTGAGATCGTCTCTTATTCACAAGATTCCAGGAGCTGGGGCTTTAAGGAAAACACCAAATAAAAGGACACCCCAAATAAAATTGCAAGAATCGGCAATACGCCCATAGTGTAAATAAGAATGAGACCCATTAGACACAACTCTAGCAAAGCTGCTTCTCCCTATTTTAAACCCACCAATGGGATATTTTTAAAATATCATGATGCTAGTTATTTCATCGACAAACTCACATGGTCGTTACAATGCCACGTGGATACTGTAAAACTTAAAGTCCTCATTTGGACGGTGCAGTAGAAGTGCAAACGAGGGTTATCATCTTTATTATTCAATGTTTCTTTGATAGTCTTATTGTTACCTGAAAGATAAAATCTCTCTGCGTTGCCTTGAGAAACATCTTCGGGGACTCCGTTCTCTGCCTCTTTGCTGGCACTTGATTGTACCAAAAAGACCGTAACGGTGAATTTGTCAGCCAGGTGCTTTATGGTGCCAGTGAACCACGAATCTAGTTTATGAAGTTGAGTTTGTAACCCAGGCCAGAGGATCTGGGTGTTATCTGTAAAATATCTGCTAATCTTACATTCAAGCTTGTCAGTATCCTCATCCACATGTTGGAGAATATCCAGTGAGGACTCTGCATGAAAAAACACACACATGCACCTGTTAGAATCCCAGTTTATCTTAATAAATATTATGGAGAGAGTCGAACTATCTATGCACACCAGCCCAAACAGCAAATACTATGCAACCCTATTCAATCTCAGTTGTAATCCACTCTCAGCACACGCACAAATAGCATGGAAATCTTCTCCCCTGGTTTTACAACAGGCGCTTTATAGGCTCAAGTCTCTGCCTTTATGGACCCAATTGCAGAGCTGTGGCCGTAATTTGGTTGTAGCATCTCAGGACTAAGATAAAGATGCTTGTTAACGAATACCACACACACCTCTCCTTCACGGCTAATTACCCTGGCTTTAGGAGGGGTCTGATGTGACAGAGCCTGATTTTCCTCTCTGTTACACTGGTGAAAATCAGGAAAAACGACACAGAAATCAATGGAGTTACACTGGAGTAACAAGATTTAAGTGAGATCAGCAGTAGATCTAGAGTTTTCAGCATCTTTGAAATGAGTATCACTGAGCCGGCAGACTGTCGAATATTATCAATATACGCTGAGGAGCTTTCGGCAGTGTAGCTCTGAATACGAACTGCTATTTTATTCCCATCCAAGGGCTTAAAGGGTGAAGCTCACCCCTGTACAGAGACTTAAGGACTTAAGCGGTTCACAGACCTTGTATTGGCTGAAAGAATAGCCAAAGAATCAATCAAATCAACAGATGAGAGACCAAGAAAACAGACAGATGTCCTGATTTCTAGAGGTAAGCTGCAAGGCTCATCTCGTCCCAATGTATTTTACCAGTCCCCAGAAGAGAATGAGGAGATCCCTCCACGAATGTGACGGCACTCACTTGAGTGCATTGGGAAAAGCACAGAGTTCAGGAGACGGAATAATGAGATATTCTGGGGAGTGCATTTTAGTAAGATACATTTTACGAACTAAGGGGTACTCTTGCCCCTTGAGTTCTCTTTTTAACACAGTATATTGTCACTACTCTTTGTCATCCGCTATACACACAATAAGTTATTTGTGAGCCACACAATAAGTCCCTTAATCATAATCACACAATAATGTTATTTCTAAAGATAAACCCAAAGCAAACCCCCAAACACATAGGGGAATTTGAAACCTGGCTCAAGATCTGAACTTTGCAGCTCAGATTCCTCTCCCACCATGAACAGTTCTGCATAAAAGGGCTCCAAGAGGCACATCTTTTCTCTGAATCCTCCTACACTGTTGTGACTAGTTCGAGGGAAATGTACTCTGCATATCCCCCCTATGTTGTGATTAACTTTATCTGGTGATGATAGAACAGCACAAGCTAACAACATTCCAAGCAGGATTTGTCTTCCCACTCTTGCAAAATGATTAAATATTCATTTACTAAGTGAATTTAATGCTAGGGAAGATTGAGGACTTATCTACACAGGGGAGTTAGTATGCAGTAAGCTAGGGTGTGAATTCAAAGTGAGTTAGCTACTCTGCACCAACTCCCCATGTGGACACTCTTAATGCAGTTTAGCTTGGAATACTTCCAAAGTATATTAAGCTGATGTGCACAAAGGTGCTCTTAGGGTGCGGTAAGAGAGTCCACATGGGGAGTTAGCGCTACTGCTATTTCCTGCGTAGGCAATCCCTGAAGTCTTATGTTTAGCCACATAACACATCCCAGCCTGCAGTAACACCCACAGTGACCTACTAAAGTGCCTCAACCAGGAGCTGAAGGAAAGTCAGGTTCTGATCATTCCTTGCAACAGGGGAAAGGCAGCTTAGCGGAACAGCAGAGGCTTAGCTCTGCCTGTGCCAGTGCCATCCCTATGTGGTACAGACCTGCCGTAGAGACTTCTAGGCCAGTCTCATCCGAGCTGCCCTGGCACATGGAGCATGCCCAAGGGATGTGGCTGGACAAGTTGGTACAAGGTTGATCAACCTTCAGAGTTATTTCATATTTCAGTCTTTGGGCTGTTCTGGTTTGTGTCCGGGACTGGTCTGTCCCCAAGAAGGCCCCAGTGCCAGAAGAGGGCTTACGGCACCCGCCATCCTAACAGGCACCGAGTAGAGCTGAGCCACAACTCAGGATCAGGGCCTCACTGTCCATGCTCACTCAGTTCTTCTGCCAGAACGGCCACACAAGACACTTATATAGGCGGCTCCCTGACATGGGCACTTGTCCGCTAGAACCTGGGACACGACCCGCCAACTCATTTCAGGTTGGCCATCCATCCATTGCTAAGTTGCAGTCGTCACTGTGACCCTAGCCACCTCTGTATTCAGACCCTACACACCACTGCCGTGATTTTTGTGCCAAATATGCTTTGTGAAATATTTGAAAACAAACCACCCCCGGGGTCAAGAATATCATTGTAAATTATATGTAACAAAGCTGGGTGTGAAATTATGAATACTCACTGATATTACACTCTGAAGGCCTGGTCTATACTGGGGTTGGGGGAAGTCAAAGTTACGCAACTTCAGCTACGTGAATAACGTAGCTGAAGTCGACGTACTTAGATCGACTTACCGTGGTGTCTTCACCCCGGTGAGTCGACTGCTGCCGCTCCCCCGTTGACTCCGCCTGTGCCTCTCGTGGCCCTGGAGTACGAGTCGACGGGAGAGCACTCGGGGGTCAATTTATTGTGTCTAGACTAGACGCGATAAATCAATCCCCGCTGGATCGATCGCTACCCGCCGATCTGGCGGGTAGTGAAGACATACCCGAAGGCTGTGATTAAAAGGTATTTAAAATCAGGCATGTCAGGGTGTGGGGGGGGGGGAATTGATAAACTGTTTTTTTCCAGATAAAAACAAGAGGCTGACAACTCAAATCAGGTATAGCTCAAATTCAATGGGCTACTGATTTGTATCAGAAGTTGCAACAGGAAGGGATAATTTGGAACTAGCCTCCAGCTTTATTTTTCAGACCTCCTGGGTCCTTAATTCAGCATGAACTAATGAACTTTATCTGGGAGTATCCTTTGGAAGAATCAATTTAAAAGGTACCCTGAGCTACAGGTTGTTAAAGAACAACCAGAGTTACAAACATTACAGAGTTACGAACAACCTCCATTCCCAAGGTGTTCGTAACTCTCAGGCTCTACTGTAGGTATCTGGTAACTCCCTTTCCTTAGATTTACCTTCCTACCTAGACCTGTATCTATATACCTGTAGACCTCATCACCACGGTAATCTGAACCATTTCTTCTGCTCTATTTTCAAAATGCTGCACTCGATATTCTGAGACTAGATGGGGGAATCTATGGAAGACTCTTCAGTCAAACGCACTAAAAATGGACCCTCTCATGTCAAGCGCATCCTGTTTAGCTCTTCACTCCACTGTCACTCGTTCACGGAAGGAAAGGCTCATCCTTCTGTTACATTTCCCTCTTGTAAAAATATTTGCTGAAACCAGTCAGGGTGCGTTGGCACACAGAAAACAGTCTGACACAGATCAACACCCCCTTGTCGGTAAACAAACGACTAGTGTAGCATGCTTAGTTGTAGGGTGTTATGCTGACACCTACTGGCCAATTTAGAACATAGCACAGCATCTATTCATTTAACAAACTACCAGGAGCCAAATTTTCCCCACAGCAGGACACAAACAAGAACTCATACTTTTGTGTCTTGCGGTGGGGAAGTGGGGTCCCCAGCTGAGAAAGGTGGACACTATTACTCATATATTACATATCTATACTATATATAAAAATGTTGTGAAACATAAGAATAGCCACAGATCAGGGGGTCCATCTAGCCCAGTATCCTGCCACCCACAGTGGCCAGCACCAGATGCTTTAGAGGAAGGTTCAAGAAACCCTGTAGTAGGCAGCTATGGGATAGCCCAGTGGTTTTCAAACTTTTTTCCTGGCGATCCAGTTGAAGAAAATTGTTGATGCCCGCGACCCAATGGAGCTGGGGATGAGGGATTTGGGGTGTGGGAGGGGCTCAGGGTTGGAGTACGGGGGTGAGGGCTGTGGGGTGGGGCCGAGATGAGGGGTTCAGGGTGTGGGAGGGGGCTCTGGGCTGGGGCCAGGGATGACAGGTTTGGAGTGCAGTAAGGGGCATGGGCTTACCTCCAGCGGCTCCCGGTCAGCGGCGCAGCTGGGGTGCTAAGGAAGGCTTCCTGCTTGTCCTGGCACTGCGGACCGCGCTGCGCCCCTGAAGCAGCCAGCAGCAGGTCCTGCTCCTAGGCGGAGGTGTGCAAGCAGCTCTGTGCGGCTCTCGCCTGTAGGCACCGCCCCCCTCCACAGCTCCCATTGGCTGGGAACCAGTGTTTGGGGCGGGGGCAGCGCATGGAGCCCCATGCCCCCGCGACTAGGAGCCAGACCTGCTGCTGGCCGCTTCCGGGGCGCAGCGCGGTGTCGGAGCAGGTAGGGACTAGCCTGCCTTAGCCGGGCAGCACTGCCAACGGGACTTTTAACAGCCCGGTCTGCGGTGCTGACCAGAGCCACCGCGACCCAGTGCCTTCCATTCCGTGACCCAGTACTGGGTTGCGACTCACAGTTTGAAAACCACTGGGATAGCCTGTCCCTCAGGGAAGATTCTTCCTGATCCCTAACCGTAAGAGGTTGTTTTATGGCCTGAAGCATGAGGATTTTATATATATTAGCATTTATTATTACAACTCTGCATATTCATATTCATTCAATCCCTTCTGAATCCTGCTAAACTTTTGATCTCAACAAAATCTTGTGGCAATGAATTCCATAGGCCAACCGCTTGTTGTGTGCACACACTCAGAATCATCATAGCTGGAATGCACAGTGACAGTTATCATTAAAGTTGACTAAGCATTCCCATTCTAAAGGGCTTTATTTCAGGTTTGTAACTTTATTATTATTATTATTAAGGTTTGTAACTTTCATTTTGCAGAGAGGTTTTCCAGGTGTGGTCTCTGCCCAAGAATGAATTTTAAATTTGAACAATAACAGTTCAGCCATTTTTGATTATGAAGGGAGTGAACACATACATTTCTATTATTAAACATCTGTGGTGTGTCTTTTTTTAAACATTTCTAATACCTCGTTGGGAGAAGCTTGAAACTTAGCAGAGAGATAATCCCTAGTTTGGACACATGCCTCTTGGTGTTCTACTGAAAATGCATTTTTCTTTGGCCCAATTATAAGGGATTAAAACACCATGTTTTGATCATATGCACTTATGTTGCCTGAACCACAATCTCCCTACATTCTACTGGCAACAGGATGTGTGTGCACAAAAAAGGAAGTCGGGCACAATGATAAATGAAGGGGGGGGGAGCTCCCTTTTATGGACCCAGCCAGCCAGTTAGCTATAAAATCCCTCTTAGTAGCTGTTCTCTACTTGCTTTACTGGTAAAGAGTTAAAAAGTCTCACTGCAGGTATAGGTAAAAGGAAGTGAGTGAGCACCTGGCCAAAAGATCCAATAGGAAGGCTAGAACTTTTTAAAACTGGGAAACAACTCCCCCTTTGTCTGTCTGTGTTGCTCTCCTGGAGAGAAGGGACAGAGCAGCTATGCTGTAAGAGCTTGGGCCAGGTATGAAAAATCATCAGATCATACCTAGAAACTACTCATTTGAAACCCCAGATATGTAAGTAGATCAGGAAATGTCTAGGAAGATGCGATTAGGTTTCTCTCTTTTATTTCTTTATGGCTTGTGGATTCATCTGTGCTAACCCCAAATGCTTTTGTTTTGCTTGTAACCTTTAAGCTGGACCGCAAGAAAATGATTCTTGATGCTTCATTCTTGTAAGTGTTGTTTTTTTTAAATCTAGCAATAGCCTGAGTTTCCAGATGTATTTTCTTCCTTTTCATTTTTAATAAAATTTACCTTTTTTAAGAACAGGATTGGATTTTTGTGTCCTAAGTGAACATGTTGTTTAATTAACTGGTGGCAACAGCTGATTTCCTGTTTTCTTTCTCAGCTCTTACATGGGGGGGGGGTAAAAGGGCTTGAGGGTACCCGACAGGAAGGAATTCCCAAGTGTGCCTTCCTGGGTTCTAAAAGGGGTTTTGCACTTGAGTGGTGGCAGCATCTACCCATCCAAAGTCAGAGAAAAGCTGTAATCTTGGGAGTTTGATACAAGCCTGGAGTGGCCAGTATTAATTTTTAGAATCTTTGCAGGCCCCCACCTTCTGCACTCGAAGTGCCGGAGTGGGGAATCAGCCTTGACAGGCACAATGATCTGAAGGAGTGTACAGAATGCCGAATGGCTCTGAAGAGTCCCTGACTTATTCTGTATGATCTATTAATGCATGCACTGAGGTAGGTAGGAATCTACCTTCATGCATCTGATTGTCTAATAGGGTCTTATTAATTATTTCCGGTTGTTCTCTTTCCCACACACTAAGTAAAGTAATGCGCATGCGGCATACCCGGCTTATCAATCTGTGGCATTGCCAGCTGATGCATCTATGACAACACGTGCAGGCTACTGCTTCATATCAGGTCTTTCATTTTGTTTTTGCCATCCAGCCAGTCCACAGCAGCAAGCTACATTTCCAGGGGAGGACACTGGAGGTTTTAGTAAGGGAACACGATGAGAGAGAACAAGGCCCACTGATACTTTAGCTCCTGACAGGCGAAGGATACACTCACACACTTGAATTCCAGCCCCAGCTCCCCTACTGACTTGCTGTGTGGCTTTGGAAGATCACAAGAGTCTGTGTCCCCAGTGGAAAAATGGGGGTGATATTTACCTACATCCCAAAGGCGAGGGCAGATTGATTAATGTTTGTAAAGGACTTTGTGGGTGTAAAGAGCTCCAGAAGTGCTAAGGATAACTGTACTCCGCAGCAGGCTGAAATGGGAACTCTACAATGAGACAGGATATGGCCTCAGAGATAGGGAAGCTATTGCCTTAATCAGAAAGGCCCACGTTGTGCTAAACAGTCGATGGGATAATTCAGGCTGCTAATCTGGACAACCTGCTTCACCCACAGTGACGGGAGGACAACGCAAGCATAGCAACACACCAGATCTCCTGACAATGGTGGTTTAACCACTCCAGGCCCCCACACTCTGAGATCAACCCCCCAGGTTTCACAAAGCTTCTGGAATGCGAGACCAGAGGACGATCTGCGTGCAGCATTCCAACATTTGTGTGTCACCATCCCTGAGCAACTTGAAGGACACCCCCCCCGGGCGAGATTTGTCTGCCAACCTGCCCAGAGATTGGGGGCCCCAGTTTTGGTTGCCTCAAGCCTCAGTCTGCACCTATTTTACAACTCCCTCAAATGGGAACCAAATTTGCACATATGCCTGAGAATCTAAACAGATTACTCACCTTGTACAATAAATGTGAGGGTATCAGCAGCAGGAGGATTTTCTTGGTGAGGTCTCTCAGTTCCACTCAGCAGGAGCCAGGCATTCTGTCTGATGTACTTGAATTCACTTAACAATGGGATTGTTTCAGTTGTCTCAAACAAGCAGGAAAGCTGCCTACTTTGTCTAAAGGTTGAACCTGCTGTTGCAACTCCATTATGGTGCTTTAGGATTCCTGCAAGGCAATACAAGCACAAATGCATTAAAAAAATACTGTTGATCTTTTAACAATAAAAAATACCCCTGAATTAAGTTTTGTTTTCCCATGTGAAAAAAATTTAATGCATTTAGCTAACAACCTTTCTATGCCATTTTAATGGCTCCATTTGGGCCGTAGTATCTTGAATATCACTTTTTTTGAGGGTGAAGGGCCATTTTTCTGCATTATAGGAGTACAAGGAACGTTGGGCTCTTTATACGTAAATCTTTTGAGGGGGAAATAACAGAAGATATAAAATTTTCCCTGAGCAAATACATTTTGCTCTTTGGTCACAGAACTTAATGTAATTATTAAGTTCTATTTAAATTATGGTTGTATTATGAAATAAATGATTAAAATTTTAGATTTTATATCTATCTATCTAAAGTTACAAATGCAGCACATTAGCCCAGACAGACACAATTTTTCTAGCAAAACCCCAAATCATGCTTCATTTCAAGTTTCATTAATAGCCAGTAATGCAGGTTAGACTGACATAAAAGTAGACAAACCTAGCCCAAGTTTTGAATTTGTGGTTCAGTTTGTTAGAATAAATGAGCTAAACTTGGTTGTTATGTAGAGTCTATACCAAACCGGGGCAAAAGAGAGCAGTTTTGGCAGAGTTTCACTTGGAGATTTTGGGTTTGTTTCTATTCAAAAACGAAGGCTAAGATTTTAAAGTGAAACTCATGAATTTTGGGTGTCTCAAGTTGGACACCCAAAAATTGAGGTACCCCAAAAAATCATTAGACACTTTTGAAAACCTTAGCCTAGATTTCTATGACATAAAAACAAGGCTATCTGGATCAGCAGTTCTGCAGTTAAAACCACTCTCAGGCCAACAAGGATAATCTCATCTTTACAATAGGACAGACATTATCACAACAACCAACAGTCTCTGGCAACAACACATCAAGAATTTAGCATATAAACTGATTCAGTCTCATTTTACATAGCACTATAACACATGCAAATATATTAGGTGTACATACCGGTGCATAGGAAGCAATAAACTGCCGTATAAATCCTAAAATTCATAGTGGAGTTGCTTTAGGTACAGAGCCACCCTCTACTGACTCTCTTCTTGCTCCATAACTTTGGCTGGTCTTAGTTTCACTTTCATTTCTCTCAAAGAGGCTGTTGCAATCCCTGTAGGGCGGGATTTCCTGGTCAAACAAACTTCATAACAGCTGGGCCAAATTCTCTACTAGCATTAACACCAGGGAAGTCAGTCGAGTTACGCCAGCAGAGAACTTGGTCCACTGAGAGGTAAGAGAGCGGATATAGCTGCCAAAGAGAAGCTAAGATTTATTTCTCTGTTGCAAACAGGTGGCAGCAAGTTTTAGAGCTGCAGGTTTCAGAGTGGTAGCCGTGTTAGTCTGTATCAGCAAAAACAACTAAGAGTCCTTGTGGCACCTTAGAGACTAGAGCTTCTGGATTCCCCCATATTAACAAAGGTTGAGTGAGGTCTCCTTAGCACCAGCTGGGATAAGTATGGTCCCACAGGGAGCAGAACAGGAGGCAGTACCCTATACAGCCCTAAGTGAAGTCAGGAGAGACTGCTCCTCTCTCCGGTGCTACAACGGGCACATCTGAGAGCATACCAGTCCTGCCAACCCCACGTGCTCAAAAATCATAAGATTGATTTAAAGATGATGAAATTTTAAAGATAATAGATGTTTGGTACTTTTTATTTGCCTTCTGGTGTTGCAGCATTTAAGGTCATGTTTCCAAGTTTTCCCCCTTAACCAGGAGAGCTAGAAACTTAAAAAAGGGGGGGAAGAGGCAAAACAAAACAAGCTGAGATTCTGAGCCCACAGCCAATATTGTTCCATTGTTTCCTTGCACTCCCCGATCTGTTGTCTCTTGTCTGACACTTAGGGTATGTCTATACTACCCACCGAATCGGCGGGCAGTAATCGATCCAACGGGGAATATCTTATTGCCCTTATATAAATCCATGGTACGCCCACATCTTGAATACTGCGTACAGATGTGGTCTCCTCATCTCAAAAAAGATATACGGGCACTAGAAAAGGTTCAGAGAAGGGCAATTAAAATGATTAGGGGTTTGGAGAGGGTCCCATATGAGGAGAGATTAAAGAGGCTAGGACTTTTCAGCTTGGAAAAGAGACTAAGAGGGGATATGATAGAGGTATATTAAATCATGAGTGATGTGGAGAAAATGAATAAAGAAAAGTTATTTACTTGTTCCCATAATATAATAACTAGGGGCCACCAAATGAAATTAATGGGCAGCAAATATCAAAACAAATAAAAGGAAGTTCTTCTTCACGCAGCGCACAGTCAACTTGTGGAACTCCTTACCCGAGGAGGTTGTGAAGGCTAGGACTATAACAGCGTTTAAAAGAGAACTGGATAAATTCATGGAGGTTAAGTCCATTAATGGCTATTGGCCAGGATGGGTAAAGAATGGTGTCCCTAGCCTCTGTTTGTCAGAGGATGGAGATGGATGGCAGGAGAGAGATCACTTGATCACTGCCTGTTAGGTTCACTCCCTCTGGGGCACCTGGCATTGGCCACTGTCGGTAGACAGGATACTGGGCTGAATGGACCTTTGGTCTGACCCAGTATGGCCATTCTTATGTTCTTATCTAATGGGGTTGTGCCCAGTGGGGCCCCACAGGGATCTGTTCTCAACCAATTATCTGGAAGAAACTATAAAATCATTGTTGGTAAAATCTGCAGATTACACAAAAATTGGTGGCATGGTAAACAACAATGGAAACGGGTCAGTCATACAGAACAACCTGGATCGCTTGTGGCTCATTTGAACAACCTGCATTTCAGTACAGCTAAATTCAAGGTCACACAACTAGAAACAAAGAATGCAGGTCAAACTTATAAGATGTGGGGGAAGGAGGAAGTTGTATCCTGGAAAGCAACAACTCTGAGAAGGATTTTGGGGTCATGGCAGACAACAAATTGAACCTGAGCTCCCAGTGAAATCCCATAACAGAGAGTAAATGCGATCCTTGGATGTTTAAATAGGAGAAGGGCAGTAAAGTTACCTGGATATACACCATTTGTGACACCTTTACTGGAATACTGTGTCCAGTTCCGGTATCCACACTTCAAAACAGATGTTAAAAAAATTGCAAAGCATTCAGAAAAGAACGACGAGAACACCGCAGTTTGGAAAAGATTCCTTACTGCAAAAGACTAAAAAAAAGCTCCATCTATTTAATTTATCTAAGGGAAGATTCAATAGTGACTAGAACACAATCTATAAGCAAGGAAGAGCTTTCTGATAGTAATGGCTTTTTAAATTGGCAGAAGATGACAATGACGAATTCAGATTAAAAATAATAATACCTAATAGTGCTTTTCATCAGCAGATCTAAGAGTGCTTTACAACAGTCAGTAGCATTATCCTCATTTTACAAATGAGGAAACTGAAGCACAGAGGTGAAAAATAAGGCACAAGTTTTTAAGAATGAACATAATTAACCATTGGGACAACTTACCCAGGGAGGTGGTGGATTCTTCGTCACTTGGAGTCTTTCAATCAAGACTGGATGGTTTTCTAAAAATATATGCCATAACTCACACAAGAAGATAGAGGCTCGATAGAGAAATTATTGGGTGAGGTTCTATGGCCTGTGTTATACAATAGATCAGACTAGATGATCAGAATAAGAAGTTTTAAGGCCTGAAGGAGCCAATCTATGAATTTACACCAGTTGAGGACATAGCTCATCATGTCTGAGCATTCTCTTCTAACTCTAATATTTAAACTTCACAAGTTTTGCAGTAGTTACAGCTTTCCTTCCTAATTAACTCCCCCTCGCACACACAAAATCAAAACTGGTTGTTTTTAGTCCAACATAGAAGAAATGAGTTCATTTCCCCTGCCCCCCACCTCAAAAAAATTCAATTAACAGGATAATTTTCTGCTATGGAAATAGTGAAAGTTTCTATTTATTTGATTTCAATAGTAAAACCCCCCCCAAACATACCAAACAACCCCTCTTCCCCCACAATTAAGAACTTTGTTATTACACAGTAAACATTTTAAAAACAATACATTTTCCTTGATACAGATAATCAAGTAATATGTTAAATAGTCAGCTGATTCTAAATTACTTACTTACTAGAACATGTAATTTTGACAACACATAAAAAGGTTAAAGGCTTACATAAGGAACGGAATCAGATCGGCTTTTAAGAGGCTGACCCAGCAAGGCAACGAATGACCACATCTCCCACTGATACCAATGGAAGTGAGGGTACTTGGCATCATACCAGGGCTGGGCCTTCAGCTGAGATTTTCAAAGGAACCTAAGGGAGTTAGGTGCCAAATTCAGGCAACCTTTGAAAAATTCCAGCCTTCATATCACTATGCCCTGGTGTAGCACTAATGGGTTTTGGGAGAGAGCTGAGTTCAGCTTCAATCTTATAAAGAGAATGTCTGATATAGGATCTTTGGGAGAGCAGATGGAGAAGACAGATGAGGGGTAAGTTACTCCAAAGGAACTAAAGATGAAGCACCGAGTTTGGGAGTGTTAGGATCTGGGCTTATGGTTTAGAACCTTCTCTACATAAGTGTTTAGAGCAGTAGGAAATAAAAGAAACTATTGTTCAAACCACTTCACCAAGATAAAATTACATAACCCTCAGAGAACCCATATGCGGTAGGCATTTACCCCCATTTTATACATGGGGAAATGAGGTTCAGAGAAATGTAGCAACTCGCACAGCTTGCCTTGTGCTTAGACTACACCCCTGTAACAATACGAACTATCCAAAACAGTATTTTCTTAGGAGCACTTAAAATGTCACATTACGAACACGCTGCCATTCACCATTGGTGCAATGACTTCTGCTTAGTAAAGTGATGGGTTTGGCCCACGCTTATGGTCCGCTCCATTCTGACAGGTTAACCCCATGAATTGAGTGCACATATATTTTCACATCAGTAAGGAGGACCCTCCTTCCGGGAGGTCAGGATTGCCTTCATTTACTCTTCTTTGGTCCGCTTCTCTGTTCAGGCCCTTCTGCCCTCTTCTTTCTCCAATCACAGATCTCCGAGTAGCTACATGATTGGCACTTCCATGCTTCCTCAATTTCCACCCCCTGGACCTCCCTTTGTCCTTTCCAGTAAGCAAGGTAGTTCTGTGCTTTCTCTCGCACCTTTTCTTCTTCAAACCGAACCACCTCCGTCCCGAGCAGGGTGTTACTTTCCTGGTGGCTGTATTCGATTTTCAAACAGTCAATGCTGGGGATGTCGGAGAGTGTCAGGTTTAGATACATCAGTTCCAGGAGGTCCCCAAAGGAGGTTACCGTGAATCCTACTTTCTGAGCATGTTCCCTAATTTGCGATCCCAGTGGTTGCTCCGGCCTCAGCTGGATGTGATTGGTGATAACATCTGGTTTCAGTTGTCCTTGCACCATGGCATCAAAAATGTATTTATACAAACAGACCTGAAAGCAGTGGGGGAGGGTGGGGAGGAGATAATTTAATAGATGATCAAACAATAGTGCATTAAAGAATGCAACAAGCTGGGATGAACTCCCGAGGCTATGTCTACACTGACAGCTAGGGGTGGGAATCCCAGCTTCAAAAGACATACTCCACTTTCACTCACCTGAGCTGGCATGCTAAGAATAGTAGTGCAACATGGGCAGCGGTGGCACAACCTAGCCACCGCGAGTACGAACCCTCCACGTTCAGAGGGGTTTGTACTCACAGCGGCTGGCCCAATCGGCTGCTGTCCACGTTCCACTAGTTTTAGCTCAGATGAGAGCAAGCGTGAGTGTGTCTGCATGAGCTGGGAATCACACCCCGAGCGCAGAGTGTAGGCATAGCCTCAGGCGTCATTGGCAACTCCAGCCCTAAACCATCATGCTACTCAGTGCAATACTTCCTTGAAAGCCGAGTGTATTATACGTAGAAATACCCATCTCCGTAAGGTTACAGATCACCTCCAAATAAATGAGTAGCCCAGGAAAATGTGGACGACTCGCAGAACCACAGAGGAGCTAGTGATAAAAATGTACATGCAAATAACTTCTAGGTGTAAATAAAGTGTGTTCAAAATTGAGGAGAGAGTCTGACAGAATGCGA